AAGATACTGTGTGAATTTATTAAGTATAAGAATCCCACAGAAAACACCTGATTGAATATATCCTAGACTGATCAGCTAGACATATTTGTATTAAAGTATTTGTATTCACAACAAAAAGCAAGCCTATTATCAAGTACATAAAATAGCAAATGTACATCATCTGTTCACAGCTATTGAGCAGGTAGGTGTTTTTCAAAAATCCTAAACGAGAATAAAATATACATCAGTATGGGATTGTGGAGATTGTTAATTTTTTTCATTGAGATCATGAATTAATATTAAAACACTATTGGAAACCTGCAAGCACTAGATGGCCGTATCGTCCTAATATAAGACTCCTCAGCTCAATGGTCTTAAGATTTGGCGTATGCGCACGAGACCGAGGGTCCTGGGTTCGAGTCCCGTATGCAGAATCGTATATGTACACTGCAAAGTAGTTCTATACTATATATATATATATATATATATATATATATATATATATATATATATATATATATATATGAAAACTACCAGAATTTTACCAAATATTCTCATGAATACATTTTTCAAAGTAATTAAAATAAACTTGACATTTATCTAATTTAAAATAAATAAAATTAGATTGTTTATAAACACAAAAAAAAATTTACTTATCAAATTAAGGCGGTTCAAGTAAATTTCGACTTTAAGCAATAAAATGTTACAGTAATGAATGTCAACAGTTCTAGTTATAAAGGGCCCTGAAACTGAACAAGCCAAAAATAAAATAAAACATCTTCTTTTTGTTTAATTATCAACTAATCAATAATGCTACAACTATGATGACTAAAAACCGATGTACATAAATAAACTCATGGAGCACAATAAAACCATAAGCAGGCGAAAGGTAAATCATACAGTAAATAATTCCCTATTCCTGTATCAGTAAGCAAGTGTTTACCAAGAGTCGTTTTTATTTTTATGTTTAATACACTGCGTACCTTCTTTTCAATTATTCAGGGATCGTATTGGTTATAATGATCCTATAGGAACTGGGGTTATTTCTATATCACAAATTTCTGCTTTTCGTGATGACACTGATGGTTAGTTGTATTGTTGTCTCATTGCCTCTACTATCATGGGATATTATTAATAACTAACACATGTAGAGTAATACTTCGTGGTTTTTTGATATCATACATATTTTTCGTCATGTAACATCTACTTTAATCATAGATCACGTGCTATGGAATATGTTGATATATCTTTTTATGTATATAACTGACACAATATACTTCAGTCATTTCTTTATCTGCATAATTTCACCATTGATATTTGTCTAACAGTGTTCTAGATCAGAAATTGTGTAAATTCTTTTGCAATCAAATCTCACTTCTTTCATTTCATACCGTAAAAATTTAACCATTATTATTTGTCTACTGTTAGCGACCTTTATTTTTTCGACAAGTCAAAAAATTAAAAAAAGGTTATATCTATTACTTAACAATAGGGTAATATTGAACAAAATATGACAAGTGAACCTTTATCACTTCTCAATGTGGAATTATCCCAGTATCATCTTGAAAGTGTAAAAGAGTGATTTAATTCATTTTGCTTCCAGTGTTTATAATATCATAAATCACTGAAAATGAGAGATGGTCTTCACAATTATCCATCCTACTTATTATTTATATTAAGGGATCGAGGTTCTAAGGATGACGCAATCGGGACAGCTACAATAAGTTTAACTGAAACCTCTTCACAAGGAACCAATGGTATGTAAATACTACTAATACACGGTGGAGGTTTCACATATATTTAGTTTTTGTTTATACTAAGTTTATGTGCACAAAGCTATGGTTCTATAAAGAATGCATGTTAGTGAAATTTTAATTAATTCAAATAGTCAATAAATTTTCTGATAAAGATTATTTCATAAATACTACTAACATTCACAGTTAATTTTCTGCTAGAATTTGTCCATGTTATAATTTACTAGGGTCTTATTGAATGTATCCCATTATGAATTCTTTTCTGTTCGCTAGAAAAAATGAAATACTCACTATCTTATAACTTCAAAATGATTTCTTTGAAAGTTTTTATGTAAAATTGCAAGTGGTATAATTCAAACAGAATTAAAGTGATGACACTTGATGACTGTCCTTCTATATTGATAATTGAATTAACTCAAACTATTTGATTACGACTCGGCGACCAAGGTATACCATTATTATTGTTAGATTCATAGTCTATGATCGAATTCAACCGTTACATTATCTGCGAATAATTGACCAACCTAGCTATGCAGTGGGAAAAGACTGTGTACGAACCTCTTTTTTCTCAAGCTATATTTTAATGCTCACAACTCATGAGGTAAAAAAAAATTGACTGGAATAAATAATCTTTAGTTACAATACCATAATCCACGTAATAACACAAGTTTATCATCCGAATAAAGAATAACAGTGAAGTCAGTAAAATACGATAAGTTACATCGTAAAAGGATTGAATATTTTAAATTCTTTAGTATCATATTATCCAGTCTTGAGTGAGGATTGAGTTCTATCTACAGTATCATAGTGTCGCTACTGATCTACAAGACTCACTTCTACCGTAGTCTTTGAGGCAGCTGAAGGAGACAATTGCATCTAGGTTTCAAGCTTAATGAACTTGTCAGCACTGAGTCTCTGTCATATTTAGGAAGACGTTGTTTCACGTGAGATTAGCAATCATGAGACCCAGTGTCACAAAAGGAAACATTAGTATTAGCTATTCAGGAGGTGATTGATTCTTTAGAAAACAATGATAACACTAACTGCTAAACAAACCAACTGTTATTACTGACAGTATTTTAGTGATAGTTTTCTTGCGAATTTGAGTTGGTTCAAAAATCGGCGAAAAGCAAAGTTCATTAGATAGTTATTTCAAACTATATTCGAACTTGAGCAGTTCACAGTTATAACGTAGAACCTTCAACTCTACCGATGTACATGATGTACTTAAACAAATTCATCAAATAGCCATAACTGGAACAGAATCACATCACCACCTCAGTTGTTGAATAAAAAATGTCCTTGACATAGTTTCTCTGTATATGTGACAAATATTTATATGCCAACCATTTTCTCACTCAATCATTTTTTAACAAATTAACTTGTTTCCTTATATATTTATATAATTTATCTTGTCAACTAACTTATCATCGATGTTTAGTTAGAGTTTTGCTTGGTGTGCACACTATTTTCTTATATGCATAAGCTGCTTGATTATGTGTGCGTGTGGTCATAACATCCAGTTAATTCCATCAGTTAATGTATGTCTATATTTTTGCATTAATATAGGTAGCGAAGGTATGCTGAGTTATACATTTTCGGTTTATGGATTCACATTGCGCTTGCGTCATTCTGTTTATTATTTAGTCAGCACTTGCTTTGTATACCGTTTACACTTGTGTTTGCAATTGTTACTCAGTTATCATATATATTGCATGCATATAAATATACTTAATACCTGAATGATTAAAAGTTACTCATGGGGTCGTCGTATTACAATGCTATTTATGAACAATCTGAATCAATCAAATAATATTTACTTGCTCATCCAATTGTTGTGTGTTCTATTGAATTCTCTTTTTTTATCCCATTTCATTTATTTTTAAGTTGTACAGTAACAAATATTGATATGTTATATCAACCAAGTTACTTCATTTTAAATAATTTCTTTTACTAAGGGATAGTAGTAACATTTTTATTAGGTCTATTTATCAGTGAAAAATGATAATATCGATCTCTTAGCCGTCTGTTTAACCTTCTACGACTCTTAGATGCTTAAATCGGAATCAAATAAAACTTAAAGTTCTGTGTCAATGATAATTTTTTTTTGATTGAAAATAAAAAGTTTTTGATATGATTACTGCAGGTTAAACTTGAAATCTCAATAACTTCTAGAGAATATTTAATTTCTCTTTTAGACAAAATGTCGTCAATCTCTATTTTTGTGAGCTTGGTAAATAATACAAAACAGGCATAAACCTGTCGACTTCTGCGATTAACTAGAAGTCATCATTGTTCGAACACATCTGACCTATTTCTTTTTGTTCCTATGGCTTTTACAAGAATGATTACTGACAATGCAAAGTATACTAACATGTGTAAATATGTTTGTGAACTGTTTATATGCTGTCCAAACTGATAAACCAGTTCTTGTTTAGGCCAGCTAAACAACTAGGTCAAAAGTCCCTACATCTAAATTGAGGTAATCTAAAATATTGAATAATTTAGTTAGCTTTCAAGCTTCAATAAACGAAATTCGGTATGCAAAGTTCGCTTCGTTGCTGCGTCCCAGTATTAATAATATTATAAATCAACTTTAAAATCACTGATACCTAGTCAATATCTAAAAGTACCAGTTAAATATATTGTTTTACTGGATATCAATCTATGTATTAATTCAACTGAAGCTTTGATGTTATTTAACATGCTTCTATTCAGAACCATATTTTATAAATTCCTAAGCGATTGAGTTACGGTACCTCTAAGATCCGTGATGGAACGACATATACCAGTCGCATAAATTTTTCTATCATATTATGGCTCCATGTCATAAACAGGCTACCTGTGTTTTTTCCATTGGATCCCCAAACTAAATAGATATCTAGTCCTATCATTAGACTAGTCAGGAGTAGTATTCTACAACTTCACAAGGGTTTGCGTCTTGGTTTTCGATGGTTATCAAAGTCAGTCCGTGAGATAAAACGTGAAATACGCATTCAAAAATATGTACTTATTCGTTGACGAATAGTCCCCAAAGTCCCCATTAACCTTCATTATTTCGTTCCTGACAATAATACCTCGTGCTCTATCGCATGCTTCTTGCCTTTTATGTATACATATGTATACGTTCATAATCTCTATATACAGGCTTCTTACCAACATTTGGTCCAAGTTTTATCAATCTCTATGGTTCTCCAAGAGAATACAGTGATCTTCCGGACAAATACGAAGCATTAAACTTAGGCAAAGGACAAGGTGTAGCATATCGTGGTCGTGTTTTGTTAGAGTTATCAACTGAATTATTAGATGAACCAACAGCTGATTTGGTTAAACCATTGGAACAAGATAAAGTCGCAAGAATCCAGGTAAGTTTATATATATATAATGTTTTTGGTTCATTTGCTATTGGTATCATGGACGAACATTGTTGAGGGTTTCTATATTATAGCAAAGAGCTTTCCTAATCTCCATGGTCTTTATTATTTGGTTGTCAGACATTTTATCATAGTTTCATTCTTTCAGTTTTCACAACCCATATTAAATAGGATTAGAGAATCCACACCGATTTACAAGATATAGTCAGGTTGGTACATAAAGGAAGAGAACATATAAATTAGTAAAGGTACATAACTCGAACAAACATAATTCAGAGATTAATTTTAATGAACATTTGTAGTACAGTTCTTAGTGAAGTGAGGCTTATGTTGTTTTTCAAAACTTGTTATGAAAGATAATATTTTAAAGTATAACATTATTGATGGAATACATACTGTATTAATCATAGAAGTATTACTATTAAGTCACATACGCCAAAGCGACATATAATGCATTTTAAAATGGTAGATGTTGCATGTTTCCTATGGAAAGTACTTTAAACAATATAACCTCAGGGTTCACTATGGTTTCTCACATTGATGTTATGTTTAATATTAATAAAATGGCTGTCATTGTTACTGTTTAAGGCTTCTGTTTGTTGAAAGATTGCATAATACACTTACTTCCTGGATAATAACGACGTCCATTGAAGTGGCAATAATATTTCTACTGAAATCGACCTGAGTATTGGAATATATTCAAATGAGTAATCAATTTTTCGATTCTAGCTGTCCTAATTTTTGGCAATGAGACTAGACGATAAATCACCTCTAGTATTTTTCTAAAAATAGGAAGACAAATGTTGAATTTACAATCGTGTAATATTATGTAGATGGATAGATCATGAGTAATTACAAAACGTATGAAGATATACAAATAAAACAAACTAACTGGTTTTTAATAGCCCGACTTTTGTCTACTTCATATTCATTTGTATAGAAATCCTTAAGAAGAAGAAAATACCAGTTGTATGTTGCATTTTTATCAGCAACAATGATTGAAGAAAAATCTGACGGACCAATTGAATTTGAAATCAGTATCGGTAATCATGGGAATAAGTTGGATGAATCGGTCACACCATGTGCATCAACGACACCACCAACAAATCCTGTATCAGATGGATTACATTACTACTATTTACCATGGGCTGATGATAAACCATGCACTATGGTTGATTCTCAATGGGAAGATATATCATTTCGTTTAGGTGCAGTTAATTTATTATTGAGAATTGCTGACCATTTGGTAAGACAACATTTACAGATGTATTTATAATAGTATATTTGTTTGTATATCGTTTGGTAAGGTTCCATGGTTACAGACGAACAAGAGATGTCAGTAATATGAAGGTGTATCGATACACCTTGGTAAATTAATAATCAATTCACAATTACATTATAATGATAACAACTTAACACAAGTCAGAAGTGAGAAGACAAAATTTCACAATGCAGCTTTATTGTTTTTTAACAAAAGGCAATCAAATAAGTAAAATCATAGTATACATGATTTATTACGTAATAATATATGTGAATTATGTAGCTAAACAACATCACAATAATATAAGTCAACTTTAGGAAGTAGTAAAATTATCTCTACCAAATCTGTCAGTAGATTAGTGATTTACATGGAGATTATCAGAATGAACATATATTTATCTGATGTTATGACTTTCTCTGAAACTATTACAGACAAGTGACTTTTCCCAATTACTGACAGTAGTCAAATAGCTTTGAACAATATTCTTGTTCTAACATGGAACTCAACAATAGTATACTATCATTGATATTTTAAAACAAAATATTTACAATGCCCAAAGTGTTAATCAGAATAGGGCACATAATTAAACAATACTGTTTTTAGTATTTAAAGCTAAAAGCTGAATATTCTCGACCGACTTGTAATTTAGTTCATCTATGTATGATACTTAATTATGGTGAGGCTGTTGAACGAACGTCAAACGAAATGCAAGCATTTTAAAACTCTTTAGAAATGATTTTTTTCTATTGCTAACTAACTTGGAACGGACAACCGTCGGGAACCGAGAATCACCTCTCGTAAAGTTATAAGGTCACCTGCGCCCAACCATTGGTTTTGGCCATATGCGGGTATTTTTTGAATAGTCCTATACACAGACAAAACCGATTTCCAGTTCGGCAATTCGGCACTACAATACATCCTACAATAAATTTCTCAGCTGTGTTTCTATCAATTTCCATTTGTTTTATTATTATTTCTTAAATAAATAAAACAATAGGAGAGAGGAATCAGTCATTTAATGGTTGCCATTAAAGCGAATCTCCCAATAGAAACTCAAGCACAATTGGCAATCTCTTCATTAGATGAATTTATTATGGATTGCAAGTAAGTGTTGTTGGAGTTTATTGTTATTTCTCATAAAATAGGAATAAAATAAAGGATTCCCTTTTTATCCCACTGTGGTTTGCACCTATTTTGTAAGCTATTTTTATCCCACTACAAATGATGTATATACTAGAAAATATGCAAATACAGCTAGTTGATAAGCACTAATGTGATCATGGAATTTTTATAAACAGAATAGACAATATTAGACCATTTTCTGACAGTGTACAGTTGCAAGAATGATATTTTTTAAAGTCTGCTAAAGGTTTCTGTTTAATTGTGTTATGTTAAACGGTCACTGGAATATATCTGACGGTAAATTACTAATCAAAATTTGTGTCACCCCATTTAAACTACTTGACTATTTCCCTAGTTTACATAAAAGAATGATATAAGCTACACAACCACTGACAACCGGGAGGCACTTAACAGCTGTTACGACTGCGTATGAGACCCCTCAGCAGTGAGAGGCCATAACTAGTTGAGTTCAACCAGGTCAAGAGTGTGACAGTTATTCAGTCCAGGCGATGGGAGGTGGTCGCGGATAACCGCGAATCGATTAGAATTAGATATTTACAGAGTTAGTTTTTCGCTCATCGGCTTATAGATTAAGCGTTTACAGCGAGACCGAAAATCTTGGGTTCGTTCCCCATGAATGCTCACTGCCGAGGAGCTCATTACTAAGTTGAAACAGCTATTGAGTCTTTTCTGATTATTGCCTAGCTAAAACTAGAACACTATGTGAATTATGAAAATTCTGCCATCTCTACCAACTCATAATTATTTGTTGTAAATATTGAAAAAAACATGATTTCACAGATCACTCTCAACAATGAAAATTTGTAAGTGACTCAAAACGCTGATAACTGTTTGCATTCAGAAAATATTTATACGGCAAACCTCACCGACTTAACCACCACTATAGCGCAAATGTTTATTTCACATTTGAGATGACAGATCAAAAAAATATATAGATAACCACTTTACAACTTTTTTATATTACATTACATATGTCGATTGATTCATACTCACTTTGCATTCTGTTCTTCGCAGATAACTGGAAATGTACGATATTTGAATAATAACCTTGGGGTTCAAGCACACTTAACTGATTGATCCCATACATAGTGGAATTTATATTATGGATTTCTCCAGTCTAGCTACTATCTGAAAAAATAATTCTTTAATGTTTATATTCTAAACAACAAATTTTCAACATTAATTATAACTTTTTTTCCATTTCAGTCATCCCTTACCACAATGGGAACCTGAGAATATTCCTCAAAATGAAATGGATATACATTTACGTAAATTACGTGAAGATCAATTAAATACATTACGTGAGCAAGCAATAAATACAAGAGAAACTGTTTCTGAAATTGATGATGCATTAAAAGAATTGAAATCTTATCGAGAAACTATTCTTAATTTGGCAATCGAAGTAAGTGGTATCCTTGTATAATACAAAGAGCATGTGAATGTTACTCATTTTGAAGTTGCTTTATGTCTTTATTTAACATCTATTAGGGTAAACATTGATAATCACAGATTATTCGGCAGGTGGTCTTTTATAATTTGAAACTATTGAACGACGCGTGGCCACACTCCTACAAGGGATTGAATCGTTAATCTTTATACCTTCCAGAAAGCATAATATATGCAGATTACCTAGTTTGATCTCAGTGGTTTAGATTTCTAGCTTCAGTTAATTCGATAGGAATGCGACCGATTGAACATTAAAGACAGAATCCATCATCGAATGACCGTTGTATTATATCTTGAATTGACTGAGCCTCAAGCAACTGAACTTGGATTCTATTTTACTTACGAAATGTTACTATTTTGGTGGCGTTTTGTTCTCTGAGCTGGATGGTTTGGTCGTGGAGCTTTCATCGTTCTTCTGAACGACATCATCAGCACAAACTTCAGAAGAACGATGAAAGCTCCACGACCAAACCATCCAGCTCAGAGAACAAAACTCCACCAAAATCATCCACCTGAGCTACAAATCTTCTCCACCATCTCGAAATGATACAATACTCTCTCTAAAACTTAAACACACTAGATTTTATTGTGCATTATATGTACACAGTTCATAATTGTAATAAGTATGGAATAAGATTTAAATAGTGACACAGTAGTTACAGATACACAATGATTCTTCGGTTGGTGTTGCTCCATCACGTTTACGGTAGTTGGTGTTAAACAGGTTTTATGAGTCAAAACCCATTTTTTTAAGAATGCACTTGTAGCTTGAACCGTTCTTTACTGATATTATTGATTAAAGTACCAAGTTGTTAATATTACACTTTTACAAGGATCGCTATTAGTGTGTGGTTTATTAGAACTTTCTAAAACGTCTGTCAACTTAGCTAAGAGTGTGAACATTAAACTTAGTTATTATAGTTTATGTTTTTTGATATTACGAAATATTCTCTGTCGCTCGTATTCGAACTGGGAACACAGGTTGGAACCCTATTTGTTAGACATTATGATTTACTACTTCAGTGAATTTGAAGTTAAAGTAGAAGGTCTCCAGGTTGTATTTTCTTCGGTCACTTGGTTCGAACATTATTTATAACAGACCTTACACTAAAATGTCTATTTGTCATTCATCTTCTCAGCAGTAAAAAGTGATTCATAGATAAAAAGAAATCTTTTGTCACTGTCTAAACTAATGTCTTTTTATAACGTCTATACATGTATATTAATATTGAGTATTAATACAGATAAGTATTTAAAAATACTTAAATAGTACAGATGTATTTATATGTCTATCTTTTTGACTTTATACACAGCCACAAATGAGTATACCAGATATTATAATATGGATGTTAAGCGGTGGTAAGCGTACCGCTTATCACAGAATACCAGCTCATGAAGTGTTATACCATGACAATGAAGATTACCGGGGATTAAAATGTGGTACAGCACAAACAATCAATTTAAAAGTATGTTCTCTTTGAATTATGTTTTTTTATTCAGTTGAGGAGATCATGAAAAACTAGTTCAATGTGACAGATGTTTTTCATCAAAAGCTTACTTTAATAGACAAACTATTGAGAAACAAAGTACTGGACAGCTCGGTCATTCTATTTTAAAACACCTTCGTTTAGTTCACCTACTGTACTTCCAGGTACTGAATCCAGTACACTCTGGTTTGAAACAAACTATGTTACCTTCATATCATGGTCATCATTCAGGGCCTTTTGTGATGACTATTTCATTCCCCATATGAGTGAACTCTTATCTACAAATTCTACCTTGAACATCGGTAATTTTGCTTCAGGTTTAGTCACTAATGAGGACATTATTATTATTTCACTGATTTAATTAACAATAAAGTTTTGTGTTTTCACAACATACACTACTTTAACGTACAACAAAACTACGTTTTTACAAAGAGAATTATTTAATACTGTTATAACGGACGAAAAAGTGCGTTTTACTTATGATTACTGCGGTCGTCTGTTGACTTGATAAAGTGATAACTCTCAAAACTGAATTGACTGACACAGTGCTTTTTAGTAATTAAAAGTTAAGAGAAGAATATCCACGGAACAATTCCCTGATTTTTCATCAAAAGGTTAGTGTATTAGGACTGTGAAGACTTTTTTGCCCCACCATGATTATAAATAACTTACCTATGGAGATCAAAAATAAACTTGCTCATATCAAACAGTTTTGTATATGTTTACTTTCATATATTGCTGCATATAATTGTCTACAGAAACCCACCTTATTGAAAGATGAAAACAAGCCAGAATGGAAAATTCCGGCTCAGTTACGTGTTGTTGTATGGTTTGGTTTAGAAAAGGACCGTACTGCATGGACAGAATCGCATACTGAGGCAAAACTCCAAGTTGTTGCAGAAACGGTATGTTAATTATATTCGCCTGTTCAACTTTATTACTAATGGTTCACTTATTTGTTTGAGAATCACCATAAATTAGCTATAATATGAGTCTGTGTCACATGATAACAATATACTTGTCAAATCAAGTCAGTAAAAATGGGAAAAACTGAGATGACACAAATTTAGACACAGAGCATCATGATTCCATAAAATATGCCGTCAGACATTAATATATAATTTACAGATATGTGTTTGTCCATTTAATTATTTAATTCAAGGTCATCGATAGGGTACCAATAGGTCATCAGTCACCAACTAATTACTATACAGTCTGTTTCTCTAACATCGTTATTCGAAATGCTATTTCCTTAATAATTTTGATAAAATCAGTACATGACAATCTTTAACATACTTGATCAAACAAGAAAACACACCACATTACCTTCAGAATCACATCCCTTTTTGTGAATAGATTGAATGTCATTAAAACGGAAATCAGACCGTTTACAAAGAAACAAATTTAGCTTATTATTAGCAAACATTACCATGTTAAAAACTCTCGGAAAACTGTTTGATTATAAGATAAAAATGGACAGCAATATTTGAGAATATCGATCAATCAACTACTATCCTTAACTTTAACGATTAGTATGAAAACAAGTTAACAATATAAGTTGTTATGTTGTCCTTGTACAAATAGCATTCGGTTATCTTGAACATATGGATATGATGTGAAGATTAGCTCAATTTGAAAACAGTTTTTATCCTCGACGTGCATCATCTGCTGAGAAACACATGAGGGCTAAATGAATATCTTGTCCCATATTGTAACCCCTGGTTCGAAAGGATCCAATATTTTTTCAACCATTAGGTTGGAATTTAATGGTCCCCATTTCGACTGTCAGTTAATTTGAGATATTACATTATCATTATTCAACGTAATTGGTGATACTTGTATCACTTTGTATACGGTTGACCTCCATTATTATGTCGTTAAACCTACAAATGATACAAAATGCTAGAGAGGATGAACAAGTGGTTATTGGGTTATTCAAAATAACTAAATAATTAATTTTTGTGTACACTTTTCCTGCAGGATTTATCACTAATCTGAATTACGCGACATCCTGGTTGACCTAACTTATATTAGTATTAAGGATTAGACAATATTTTATTGGTCACTCGCCATTGAATGGTTGTTAGTTGCAGACGATTAGCTAAGTAATAATAGCTTGATTGCAACACCACATGCATTGATTTCAAATTCGTCTAAAGCAGTGTATCTCTTAGAATTCGAGGTACTCTACGATAACAAAGACTAGCTAGTATTCAGCAGAGATATAGGACTTTCTGCTCATCACCTCTAATCATAATGCTTTGTATATAAAATGTTAAGCATCAAACACTAATACGGTTTAGTCATTATTATTATTATTATCATTATTATTATTATTATTAGTTTTATTCAATATTATAACTTTGGTACAATATAGAATTCTCAGCGCAAAGTATTTCAACAAGTTTCCGCTTCTTTCTTCTTGGTCGGTCCTGGCGATAAATATTGAGGAATCATCAGTTAGATGTTAGCACTTCAGTGAATGAACAACTGAATAATGTACATTCTTTTCGTTGTACATTGCCAGCAACCATATTGTCTCTTATTGAGTTTTCTGTAACTTTGACAACGAAAGGTTGTACACTTTTCAGAAACGCAGCAGAATAGGTTATGCGATTAATAAACATAATGATATATTAAAACAAACAACAATAGATAACTTGTTGAAATATCTAGATGGCAGGAACAGGTAGCCCAGATGCTCAAGCAGGCCGCCCTAGTCATATCATCCTATCAAGATCATTAGCGTAAATCATTAACATTTATTAAACTGTCTGTTGATAAACGCAACTAATGATAGCTAACATCAATTATCAGTACTTACTCACTAGATAGAAACGATTTAGCCATTGAACATCCTGGTCATATTTGTTCAAGGTCAGACTCTCCATTAGCAATGAATCGAGATGAATTCAGACCAAATTCCATCAGTCTCTTTAGATAACCACAGTTATGATCTTAAGCGAGCTTAGTCATCTGGTACACTTATAGAACTGAAGTAACTGTTTGTGATAATAGAAATTATTGTGTTTTAAAGTCAATCGATCTAATGTATACTGTTGGTGACTAAAGAATATTTGTTTTCACCAGAAGTGTTGAACAAAATATCTATGAAATGTTTCTGCGTTTACTCAATATTCTTTAATATTTAGTATGAAAATCAAGCATCAATTGTTGGTAATTGGGTGACTAAACGACCACCGTTAACACGTCCATCATGGTCAGATAATACTGGCCGAATTGAATTACCCAAGGATTCTATTCAATTACCAACAGGTTGGGAATGGGTTGGTGATTGGTATGTTAGTCCAGAGTTATCGTTGCTTTATAAAAAGGTGAGCATCAAATTTCTTTTTTACAACACAAAATTTTAGAAGTCATTTCGAATCATTCACTTAAAATCAATAAAAAAGGTATATTTTCACTTATTCTAACTAAAAGATCTCTGTTCATGATAAGCCACTAAATACGAGATGGATCTTATGCTTTTTCAATTTCTCATTGTGATTAAAATATACTAGTGTATGTGAACTGTTGTATGTGTATGAGCGGTCTACTCCTCTGATCAATCTCGTCATCTACATCTGTGTGTTTGGGTCAATTTAGGAATATATATGTACGATAGAGATGTGTACATTTGTATCTTCTTCTTCCCGGTATGGATACCTAGGGAGTTCAAGATTTCTTTATCCACACAGTGATCTGGTCAGGCGTTTGGTAATCAAACATTTAAACTAAATCGGACAATAGAATATAACAGTTTAAAAACTTATGAGTGACGTAAGAGTTATTTCGTAGTGTTTTATTTTGAGACTACTTAGATATATATATTTTTAAGATTTACTATGAACAAATTTAAAAGTGATTTTACAGATTATTGAAGCTTACGCTTGTACTGTTCTTGATTCTAACCTGAACGGTTTTCTCACGCTAAGTATCAATATTTAGTATTAAACTATTTCTTGCAAGTGGGAGAAGTGTCAAGTTGAAGAACTATGTTTTGTAGACAGTCGTATTTCGCGTGTGTGTGTATGTATGTATGTAAAAAAACGAAGTAGGTTTACATGTCATGGTACTATTGTGAGTAATGAAGTATTGTGTTATTCTTTCGTCAGGTCACAGAACATACTGACAACCTGTAAACTTTTTTAATCGCATACGAATTTGAAGACGGAATTTCTGTAAATGAATTTGTAAATGAAATTAAACAGAACTCATTCCAGTAACCTCATTCAACTGTCAATACATTTAATTATTAACTCCATTTTAAAGAGATTAAAATGTATTTTGAGGAAATGAACCATCCTTAATATCATTTTATTACTTGAATATCTAACTCGTGATGTGAATGAATAAACTTTTCTGTTAAATAAATAAGCTTTCAAATATTATTGCATATTGATTAAACCGGGAGTTGTATGGTACCGTGTTATTTAATACGAATGTTGCATAATTAACTTAATATTGTAATCGGTTTAGTTCAGAAGTGAAATTCATACAAATCATGCAAACTGGTCACATTTTTAGTTGTATTGATGATATCTTTTGCATTATTGTTAATATGTATGAAAGGTAGAAGGTACATTTGTCATTTTATGAGGTTCTTTACAGCCTTTTTGTGAATATATTAGAACCAGATATCTTCATATCATAAAAAACTGGTGATAATTTTTAAATATAAAGAAATTTATTCAATTCAACAACACTTAAACCTGATCTCCTTACTAATTAACAATAAATAAACGAGTCAGTTGATGAAGGATTCGTTTCAAGCTCCATAGTATATGCAAACAAATTAAAGGTTTACATTAGATTGCTCAACAAACCAATTTACTAATCGAAAGAGCTAATCCGTGTCAGGTAGAGACAGGTATCTACCTCAGTACAATGGAAGATAGTCACTCAGTTTCGCCATCAGATTTAGGTGCCGGCTGGTTCATTGGTCTAGGGGTTAGGCGTTTGCGCGAGAGGCTGGAGGTCCTGGGTTCGAATAACGCGGGGGGCGGGACCGTGGGTGCGCATTGCTGAGGGATCCCATAATAGGACGCAACGACCGTCCAGTGTTCCCAGGTTCTCAATGATCGTCTAACATCAGTCGGTTCATAATCTCAATCAAAAAAACCATTAATTCAATCAAGGAATTATGCTTTGGACAACTAATCAATTTTCTTATAATTTCTGTAACTAAACATGCTTCGATAAGTAGCATTTACACATCATCAACCACTGGATAACAACTAACTTAATATTAACAACATTAAACATTTCATTAATAAAACTTTGTTTAAATTTCTGCCAATATAAGTCGTTTCATTCTATAGAACACCAATCATATGAGTTCATTTTATGAATTGACTAACTAATGGAAATTACAAAATAATAAACAACGAAATTATTTGAATTTTTAACCATACCACATTCCATACATTGAACATTTAATGTAATGAGAATATTGATGGTTTTCGCTAACGGTATTATTAGTCATTTATTATGTACGAATTTAATTCGCGTTAATCATTCCCCATTGACAGTAACTATTATTTTATCTATTTCTTATATTTGATTAAGGATGCAGGAAAAACAAGTTTTGTTGAAGAATTATTCTATAATGAATTTCGTACCCCAACAAGTCCATGGAAAGTTGCTGAACCTGCATATACTGATGCACAAGGAGAAGTGAAAGGTGAACCAAAAACAGTTGAACTACCAAGTGGCTGGACATGGGCTGATGATTGGAAAATTGATTACAATCGTCCATGTGATGAAGACGGTTTTGAGTATACCGTAGAAGCATCTACAGGTGGTTATGTTGCAGCTGAAAAACTTTATCATATGTTTCGTAGGCGACGACTAATACGGTCACGGATACTTGGTGATGTTGGTGTACCTGTTAAACAAGAAGTGAGTACATTACTAATGTTTTGTTTGATAATAGCGTCGTTTCTGTGCATTCATGTTAAAAAGCCGTAAAAAGATGATAAGCATGTTTTGACACGAAAGATTATGTTTCTTCAGAATTCATCTCTAAATATCATCAACCGTTCACTGATCAGAGACCCTGTCTTCTTAATATTAACCAATTTTATTTTATTCAATATTTTGGACGCTTCTAATCCCAATCCAACGTACTTAGTGTGAAATCTTTAAGTATCATCTTCAAAGATTCTTAATTTCAATGATATTTTTAAACGAAAGCCTCTAATTAGCAATAATAGTAATAATAATAATGATGATGTTCGATAGATCTGGGAATTTTATGATGATCTCCACTTTACATATTGATCAACAACTTTAAAAAAACAAGCATATATGACCCTTAAACGTACGAGATCAATATATAATATCTAAACTAAATAATGTCTACTACTCTTTTCACTTCAATAGTTTGTATCATTTTTCGAAAGTTTGTAGCAATTCCACTTCATTTCTGAAAAGAACTTTACATTTTAGTTGACCCCTCTGTATTAAGTGAACAAACCTGATATTCAAACTGATAAGTCATAGATTTTGTAATGTCGACAGAAAACTGGTTAGAGTTAAAAGAAAAAGTTGAAACTTTATTGTCCCCGTTATATCTTGTAGTCAAACTCTTAAGTATTGATTTCCTAAACTCTTCTTTTGCTCTTCAACTTTGGACGTAAAACAGAGGACTTGTGCTTTGAGAGGAATTTCACATACAAGATCATGAGCGAAAAAACCGGAACTTTATAAGACCACATGACCTTCAGATTTGAGAATCCTCTTGAAAGAATCTTTAAAAAATCTCGGCTATAACTTAACTGAGAAACACACAAAGTTTATGGAACCCAGATTGATCGGAATTTTTTGAGCACTTTCTTAACCTCTGAAGACTTTACGTAGGAATTAGTCAGGTCTCCTAGCATTAACTACAATGCATTTAGCAAGGACAGTACAGATTGAAATTATATCACACGAACAATTAAAAGAGTGAAACAATCAATAGAGTAAACGTGTGATAACTAAAAAAAAAAACGAATTAACGACCTTGAAAACCGAATAGTATCAAAATGGAAAATGATAATCATGATGCTAAATAACAACAGATTTAATAAGATCAATACACAGTTGAATAAGAGGGAAATCCAAATGATATAGAATGTATTCTATCATCCAAAATTTCTTGACGGATGATTATACATATACATATATATATGTAATAGTTGACTGAGATGGACGGCTATTTTCCTGCCAGAAAATGCCACAATATTGGTAAATACATTGAGTATTCCATAGATACGTATTTAAATACTTCAGGATCTCGTATCCTTAATTCTCTGTGGTAGTTTTAAGCAATAACAAGTAAGATTTTCAGTACTTAAAAATGAATTCTTCCCATTTCAATACCTTATGGTAGACAGTTTCAAGTGACAACCGATAAACTGGATTAGAAACAATGATTAAATGCTTACACTATTTCTGAATTTAGACTTGTAATTCTAAAAGAAAATGTGAAGGCCAAAGTCAGACAATGTGGCTAGGGTTGATGCCTTTTTATATACGTAAAATCTAATCAAATGAAGTAATTGACGAGGAAGTTAGGTTATGAAATTGGTATTAAATGACTAAAAATTAATTTTTTTCTAAATTATAATGTATGATGATGCAATCACTTATTTTACTGTTTATGACATTATCTTGTTTACCTAATATTGTTCAGTCTTATGTTTCGGAATTCATTAATAAACATTGCTTTTTCCCGTTTCGATGCTTTTGTTATAAACGGATGTTCGACTATGAAAAATAAATTCCATGAATACAACTCTTTAATCAAGAATCATGTGTTACCGCATTCCGTTTCTAGTTAGTTTGTATATAAGATTTAATGATACAAATGGAACTAATGATGTGATAACCATACCTGAGAATCTAAGAAATGGGTAATTAGCGAAGTTTCTGAAGTTATAAATGTACACCACTGGATGCTAAACAATTGTTTAATAGTGAGACCTGAAGGTGTTAGGTTCAAACCCTGGCAGTTTTGTGGATGAACACTGTTGACGAATCTCTTGCTAGAGCGGAACAGACATCCATTGTTCACTCAATCTTATTAATACTCCCAATCCGTAAAATGTTCGTCCATGAAACTATTAAATCATAAAGATCATTAATTTAAAGGTGGTCTACATTTAAGTCATGAATTATCTACATAACTGGCGAAAATCAAAGACAACAGTTTTATCCGTACCTGAGACTCATAAAAATTGCTCACCAGCGACCTCTTACTGGATTCAATCTGTCTCTTTAAAGTTTCACCGTCACTTATATTACTAACCCATTTAATTATAATTCAATGAATGGCTCAGATTATTACCGTGAAATAATTTATGGAACAGCATGATTTTCATCTGATGATTTTTTTCGATTAGTTACTGTCTCAGCTTACTGTGAAGGATGTTTAATCGATGGATCCATTGGTCAATCTCTAATGAAATATTATGAGACTCAATTCTGATCTTTGTCCTAACAGTAAAAAATCTCTCTAAGAAGCAGCTAATTACTTATGAATTGATCTTCACCGTGAAGTTTTTCCATGAATCATCAATATGATTTGTATTTACTTACTAAATCTCTTGAATATAGGTACTAAGACAAGTGATAGCACATGATCAAGTAAGGTTTTGTGTCTGTATGTGTATGTGGCATATGCGTATGCATGACTGTGTAATATCTCATATAGGGGTGAATCGTTATTTATACATGTATATGCCCTTGTACTTGCTTATATCAGTGTAGTGGAATATATATATATATATATAATGTCTAACATATTTCAGTGTACAACATGCTTTAAAATGTTTATTTCGTTATACTCTTTATATTTCCCCTAAACTATTTCTTGATGTGTGTTATATGATGAGAATGTATTGAATTCATGTTTGCAAAATTCAGATGTTAGATGTTGGTAAACTACAAAACTTCAAATTATTCAGTTTCAAGTTTTTATCTAACAGGTTTTGGACTGCTGGCCTCTTCTTTTTTTTTCTAAATATTTACTCTAGGATACTCTGTCATTTCAAGTTGATCATCGGTATAATGATTTTAACCAAAATTCTTTTTGTTTTATCATTTTCACCATTGTTTTCAACTTGTTTAAAAATTTTTTTAAAACATTCCACAAATGATTGTCAGTAGTTAAGGTAATAAATTTCATAATACAGTTAGCATTTAATTAATCAACATATTTCAACTTTAAAGAAGATTTAACAATTATGCTAGTGAGCATTGAATATTCATTTTATAATATAAGAGACTATTTCGTATAGATATAATTATTTCTAAATTAAAATACATGGATCACTATCCATCATTGTTCACTATGGAGTATAAAGTGTAAAGCTTATTGAAAGTAGATCCAGTCGATGACAAATTCAATACAGTTTTTTACTTCTAAACATTAAACAAGAATATATAATAGGTATTCGGTGTGAACATAGTATCTCAATTATTTACTATTATTGATAATGATGATGATGAGGAGGAGGATGAAACTAAACACCGACATCCATAAACATATAAATGATCTATAGGTTATCAGCTGATACTGTTTTCTTTGATTGTTGGTCATTAACTGAAGTCAACAGCGAATAGTTTACAAACTGTTAAAGAGGGATGGCGGTCAGAAAACCAGTATAAGCTAAGACCTAATAATATCGTTTAGAATTACTTACATGAAATTCAATTTGTATAGTTGAATAAATCCTAAAAATACCAACTAATTTGAGTCAACTATATGTTCTAAGCACAAGGAAAATGCATCTGCAAAGTAGTTAGCCTAATTTATATTGTTAGGAAAATTAATTTGTTTATCGAAAGTTATTATTTCCACATAATCAGTCTGAAGAGGGAAATTCTTTAAATCTATTATAGAATATCAGATGATATTCCTTGGTTCAATCACTTTATTTACTTGTTGACTAACTCTTAAACGCTTTCATGTAACCTGGTGTGATCGGTCTTTTAGATGAACTTTAACTATTTTCTCGTGTAATAAATAGCTTATTATCTGGAAAAAATTCGATGACGATTTATCACAGCCTCTAATCATTGTGCTTATCAAAATTCAATCTCAGCTTATCTCAATATCATATTTATAAAACTAGAAACTATCTTATCTGTATTATCATCTGTATGTCATATTATCACCTAACATGGAATTATTATTGCTGCTCGTGTTTACATTAATTCATGACATTTACGCAATTGCATCACTCAATCATCATATTCTAATTTTAAGAACATTCCACTCACGTTATGACATTCGAAACTCACTGGGCTGTATTTTTACTATTCAATAACGTAAAATTTTCCTGCCTTTAAGTGAGTTCGTCCCATCTTATTTCCATGTCATTTTTGCCCTATTATTACACTCATTCGCTTATTCGAGGTCATTTTTTTATGTTATTATACCATACACCTTTTGTTTCAATATTACCTCCTACTATGTCTGTGGATTTCTCTTACTCTACTAGCTGATTAGTAAAGATTACATTCATCGTATCTATTTGCCCACATGCTGCATCATTCATTACCCATAAACATTATTCAATTACTGCAATTAATATTCTATTCCAGCCATACTACATATCACAACAAAAAGGATACACTCTTGTTCATCGCAAACAAGTCAGTCTCACTCGTTGACATCGATAATATGTATTGGTATTTTTTATCATGCCTTAGTACGGTTTGGTAACAAACGAATATCCCTTAAACAACATAATCCACGCTAGACTTCACGATCGAAAAGGAATACGGCTCCGCTTATCACATCTCCTAGTCGCTATCCTGTTCCTCTACTAATACATATTTAACAATAACTCGATGCATCTGTCATAACGCAAACGACAACGTACACTGACTTTGCATTTTATTATTATTGTCAATCGCAGTACAGCAGTGAATATCACCTATCGATAAAGTTATCATTTCACGACTTGATTGGCTTTATGATACAAACAGAAACTCCTTGTATGTAAATGCAAAACCACTTATCGCTAATCGATGCTATTTACTGAAGTGCGGCTTATTAGAACATGTTCGCATTTCAGTATTCTTTATCCTTATATTCAGTCGTCACCACAGATCAATTCTTGTTATATTCTACCCCACTTATTATCACAAGTTGTTCCTCTGTCATACTCATAAACTATTTATTACTGTTTTCACCGTATTTCGAATCGCTTTTATGAATATGTTATGACATAAATACATGTTAATTTTTATACGCTTATTAACTTTCCCATAATTGCATGCTAACATTTCTATTTTTATCCGCATGTTGACGGTATTCATATACATTTTTACATAAGTAAACACTTTCGTACAATACACTCACTCCTCACGTGATACTGTAATTTATCAGGTATAGTACGATTTATTTCCCTAATCTTTAACGTTAACCATATAGCACTTCAGTGTAATTTTCGAAAACAGACATTTTAAAAATAATAAATGTGCTATTTCTACAAAGGGGCTATGTAGTGCCGGTTACTGTGTTAAGCCTACACAGCTTATTCTAGCTTCTAGACAGGCCAATTTATCCATTCTTCTTGAGTCGCCTTTTGACCTTGTTAATTATTCACTAATCAATCCTGACTGTTTTTTTATATGAACGTATGTGTGTGTACATCGCTTATTCTACTCATCATATTTCTGTAGCTCGTTTTTGTGTGACTGTAAATATTGATTACTGTTTGATTAAATCGAGTTGGTTCACACGTTTATTTAAATTTCTGTTCAGCAATCTCGTTTATCATTATTAGTAAGTTCCACAACCAAGTAGATTACAAAATGATAACTAATACGAATTCATGTTCAAATTAATTTCCTTATATATATATATATAATAGTTTATTCTAACTTCATGTATGATTACATATACAGTATTTATAATCTACCCTAACCCATATATACATATATATCTTATAACATCACTGTTATGCATATTTTTACTAATCCAAATAAACATGGCTGTAACGTCCGTCCAAATTCGTTTTGCTTTTACTAAACGTGGTGAATTTATTTGAACGAATTGTGCATACACGGTATAATCATTGCTTACTTTTGTATATATCTAATGGGTTGTATTCTCTTAACGATACATAATTACGTAGAATAATGTTATGTTAATCATTGTTTGAGTTACTGATTCGTTTTAAGCGCTGTCGATAAGACTTTAATCTTTTTACATATGTATATGTTGATGTACAACAATGTTTCAATGAATTCTGTGTATGAGTTATGAGAAGTACTGAAATATTGTGAGATGAATTATATATGGCTTGTAGCTAAGTGAAACATTTAAGTAAGCAAGATGAACAGCATACATATATATATGTTGATAAAATAAATTATTTATACTATAACTGGTCAGTAGCTAAGAACCAATCTCTATTTGTCCATTGATTAATAGTTACAACAATTTTCTCTACCTTACTGATTTATTACGTAAAGTATGAAACCTGTCGTGTACAGTAACGTTTCTATCTAATTCAAATATCTTACGTTCGAATTCCATAGAGAATATCCCAATTACTAGACAACATTTACAATAAGTTGAAAGGAAATCATTAAAAAATGAACAGAAGTTTGTCTGTTGTATACACTTGACTGAATGATGATATTCCATTTATTCTTGAAAAACTCTCACAAGAGACTGTTTCAATTGTGAGTAAATTAGGATGTTAAAAGAAAACTTTACAAATCAAAGTTCTTTCAGCATTGTGAATGTATTAGACTAAAAAAAGTGAATTTGGATTTAGCTAATAGACAAATTCAGTAGAACACAGTCAGCTTGGCAATAATCTAATGTTTCATAGTCATAATAGATTCTCACAGATCATATGACATTAGGGTCATTAATCTAAGTACATTAACATTGTGTTACAACTTTCAGGATGTTACATATTTGGTGGCAGTTGAATAGTTACCTTGGAAATAGGTTTCAATCTGGTTACCACTCAGGAATAATAAATATCTACACTCTTCAGCCAGTTGATGTAAAACCGCACTACCCCACTATACGAATGAGATGTTTGAACTAAACAAAATCATTTATGGCTATGGTATAACAAGGTACAAATTCTGATCTCGAGTAGAACGCTTCTAAAAAGTATTGTTTACAAATGAATTTCAATCACCATTCAATCTAGGTTTAAGAGCATTCTGTGCCTTTGACTGTTTAATGTTGCTAATAACTCATTATTAAATTGAAAAATTTGACTTACAGCGACAATAAACTTAGTGTTTCCAATGAATTCAGTTCCTAACCTATGACTAAATGTATGTACGTTTGTGATGTTAAAGAGATAACCAACCTATTATATCCAAACAACCATTGAATACCTGAAAGCACTAGATAACCGTTTCTATTTAGTATGGAACTCCACAACAAAGTCCACCAAATACCCGGTCACCGGGAATCGAACTCCGGACTGTTGGTCTCGCTTGGGAATGTTTGACTTCTAGGTCGATAAACCGAGATCCAGTAATATGCAAGCCTAACTTCAATCAGTTCGCGAAATCGGGTAACTATATCTATCTATTTTCAATGAGTACATTCCTCACACTTGATACTATTGTACTCTATTAGTTATGGATCCTCACAAAAATTTTTAAAGTCACCTCTCAAGGCCAGTCAGTCATAACTTCTCACAAGGCTGTATGTTTTCTGTCATCATATCATAAATAGTGGTCAGTTTATCGAGTTCAAACGTTAACAATCCTAAAAATTTATATGTTTACATGTATATATCATTTTAGTAATAATTTTAAAAAAATAGACGAATAATTAATTCTTACTCTTTACAACTAACCAACAACATTAAAACCTTATTGGTGTAAACATATCACCATGGTATCAAGTAAATTGAAAAGTGTTTGTTTTTGTTTTTACTAACTTTTTTTTCCTAGCAAAGTTTAAGTACGGAACCAGCAGAAGCATGGGAGTATGCATTCAATTTCGATTCAAAATTCCATACAAAAGAACGTAAAGTTGATATGGTTCGACGCAGACGCTGGCATCGTGCTTTAGCGCCAAAAGATCTAAGTTCAGAGACTAGTTCATGTGTTTTACAAATACGAGGCAGTTCAAAACAAGTGGTGAGTATTACTTTAAGAAAGGTATTGCAAACGTCTATTTATGGTTAAGTTAGTAGTATTTAAATGTTAGGCTATTTTTAAAGATAAACAGAAAACTTGATTGTTAACCGCACATTTTAATAAACTTAGTCGAACACTTTAATTACATTCACAGCTTTATGACAGCGTATCAAGGAGATAAACTAACATGAAACACCAGTGTTAGTAGCTTTTATTATGTTTTAAATGTGTTTTAGTCTCCTGAGACCACATGATGCTTTTTTTCTGTCAGGAAAGATACCAACTATACTCATAATGCTATTGGTTATACATATGATGTAGTGTATGTCAATTTGATATTCAGTTGTTAAATTAAAAGTCAACATTAAAGGTTGCTGGTTGATGTCGATACGATTGTTTCATATTTTGATGTTCTTTGCTGGTTAAACTGAAGAATCGTACTGGGCATTTCATTCTAGTGTTAAACGAATAAGAATATAATATTCAGACATTTTGAGTGTTGCTTTGTCAAATTACGATAACTATTCACAACCAACATAGCAGTCAATGTCTTCTAAAAGATCGTTTGGTTTAGTGAGACATATTGTGCTAAATGGAGAATCAACTGTATTTTTTCCTATTCGTGTATTGTTATTTTTGAATTTACAACTCAAGATGACTTCATTCAGTACCAACGAATTCACTTATAATGTGTTTGTGTAGTACGTTTCAAGCTAGTTCGCAAAGATTTCTCTAATCACTATAAATACTAAAAAGCAAAAGCTTTTGATTTTCACTAAAAAATCAAACGATTGCTATTTTGGATATCTCTCAAGTATTGTCTTGTTCATTGTTCGTCAGTTGAGATGAAAAAGTGGAAGTTTATGGACAAAATTCTGAAATCCTTGAGAATCCATTTCTGCCGTTATAGTTCTGAAGTGACTAAAGTCAACTCAAAAGTGACAATATTTATTTATCAGATCGACCACCCAACATCAACGGACTCGATTCCAAAAAAGGATTACTGTTAAATTGACTAAATTACTGAAATTTGTACAAGACAACACACTTTATCAGCTTATACACCGAAAACTCCAGTCGAGCTTATTTAGATTGTCAGGAAAAAATATCAATTATTGATTAAAAGACATAGAAATTTGTCAAGCTTCTTCAAAAGGGTACAATCAGTTCATCTCTTTTTTCAAGAATAAACGTCTTCATATTTAATCAATTGTTACCCTAAACGTTTATATCATTCACTCTCTCTCTCTCTCACTCTCTCTCTCTCTCTCTCTCTCTCTCTGATACATCGAAACTGTCAAACTCTGTTATTTGGAAAATCAAAAGTGCCCGATCGCTTATGCTTTCAGTTAGCGGGTTCACAATCTACATGAGTTTTGATTCTGATAAAGCGTCTGTTTTTATGGTGTCGCTGTGTACTTTAGGTTCCTTAATCGCCAGTGGAAGATGACGCTAGATCCCTCTCACTGTTCTTCAGACTTACCCAACTCTGAGTTTATTCTATGCAGGAGACGAAAAATGATTATGACGGTATAGCGCAGAGATGATATGAAGAAGATAAACATGGAATAATAACGTATTTTAAGTCTAACTTTTAAGAAGTTCGATGAAGGCTTTGAACGATGGAAATGAAGAAAATATAAGGAAATCCCCACAAATAAAGATTTGATATATCTTGAGATTCATAAAACAGTATTCTGGTATCTTCTGAACAGATTAGTACGCTTATAAATAGTTAGTTGTCTCTCCATACTTCAAGATTTTAATTTTATGTATTTCTCTAAGTTTCTGTTGTTTTCTTCTTCTACTCTCTCTCCTTCTCTTGTATTCTAGGAAAGTAGCATGAAGTTGAAAAAAGTATGCACAATTGTTGTTGAACAAAAGTGTTCTTGTGTTTTTACAATATACATACATATATTATTTTAAAACGGCTTGTCGAAGTGAATATTTGCATGTATAATTTTCGGAATGTGTTTCTTATGAAAAAACAATTGTTTTAACGTAGTGCTTCTACACAACTCGATGTTCTTAGTTGTTTTTTCCCTCAAAACGTTTACATCATTGATGTTGCTTGCCTTTATTCTGTTCAGTGTGCGTTATTTATGCTGTTTAGTTTATGAGTTAAATTTAAATCAAAAGTTAATGTTTAGTAATAACTAACACCTTATTGTATTTATACAAAACTGTTCACCCTGACTAATCAATGTTGTAATATTAGTACTAGTGGTGGTAGTAGTAGTAATAATAACCAAGGTTGTATTTGTATACTCCTGTTAGTACTGATGGGATTCATTAGATCAAGTTACACTATGGATCCAACATTAATGTTTGCTATTTGGTTCTGTTACATGGTTGAAATCAATCTGCAAAAGTGAATTCAACTCAGTATTAAATGAAAGCGTTTACATTATGAGCATTCATGCAAAATAAATAAGCACGCTCATCTCGCTGTCGGATCAACTTAGTTCAGTGTCGTCCAACTGTAAGTATTCGATACGTTTTGTAGTCAGTGATACGCACACCTTGTCAAACAACTTATCCTAACTTATAATTTGTTTTGGTATGATTTTCATATCGAGATCGATGAGGATACCATTGAAAACTGAAAAGAATTTCCCAACGTTAATGCACTTCTCAGCAGTATACGCCTAAAACATTATCAGGGATTCACCCTATGACCTTCAGATGTTTAGACTTGAGCTTAAGCTTCAAACCACTAAGCTGGGATCCGATTTCATATTTAAAATTTTAGTCTGAATAAAGTACTATGTCATTGTTTTCCACCTAAAAACTACCTCTACTGTTTCAAAATATTCATTTTTTGATTAACCCGATCACGTAGATGATAAGGACAAAAACTGCATAGAAAGTCGGTTTTTTTTAATGCTGTATCAAAGTACTCACATCTCATCATTGGTGTTTACAAAAAAGATAAACTGATTCAAATAATTCCACATATTCGGTAACCTTACTAAGTTGAATCCATTTATTCACCATTACAGCCTACTGACACTTGTGTTTTGTTTACTACAAGGCCTTGAGGGATTATTTGATTTGTCTAATTCTCCTAAAAACATTGAGTTAGAACAGCATCTACTAAACTGATTTGTTGATGGTTTACTATGTTCAGCTTATTTTACTTCATACAACTTGACTTCCTCTGAAGAATGTGTCCGTCATTCAAGTGTTTTTATACGAAACAAGGGGAAAATGAGTCACCCAATTTGAGTTCGATGGGAAAATATATATATAGACATACACGAAGATATTCTAACTCAAGAGTTTGGTGAATGTGTAGAGACTTTTGTTCGGTCTGAACTTATTTTTCTTTACAAAATTGATGTCCAGAAAGCACTTGTCAGTTGTTTTCTTCTATTGTTGGACTTAATGCTGCGCACATCTACGACTCTTACAGGAAATTCAAACATAGGACAATTGAGCATTGATTTTGTGTTATATTAACGTCACTGTAGTTGTTAAATGAAAAGCTAACTATTTGTTTAAATGTAATATGGTGATTATGATTCATGGAATAAATTCGTTCCTTAAATGGTAAACTAAGTTGTAATGTCAACGAGTTTAAGTGACTTTGGATACATATACTCTTATTCAAGATGAAGATATGATTATTGTAACATGATGGTTTAAGACAGTATTCTCCAGGTTTGAAAAATAAGTAAGTGTATTCAAAATACAGGAGGAGAACACACATAACTCTAGATGATGGTTTTTACTATTTGATCAAATTTATTTGAATCAATCTAAGTTAGCTGGATGAAGAAGAGAAGCTACTGGTCATATACCACATATTAACCTCTTGGTGTAGTCAGTCATTTTTAGGGATGCTTATTTCTAGTGTCTGTTATATGGTAAACATTTACATATATATCTCCTTGTTTAATGTAATTAATTAATTTTTAATTATGAAGTTTTTACACATCTCCAAATGTAAGAAGGTTAGTTAATTGTAAAGAAAAAGAAAACGTCAAAGCCAAATTATAATTTAAAAAACCCCAAGCTGTTGTGCTGACAAACGGGATTGAGATGCATGAATCAACCATTAACTTATACACATATACGCTTTGGGTTGCACAAATGTGTTTTTGTTTTCTTTAAAATTTGTTCAGCAAGCGAGCTCAATACCTAATTATAAACGCACGCTGTATTTTGAAAACAACCCTAATTGACAATTTGTTATGCATTGTTTGGATCCGGGATGTTTCTTCATCCAATCAAATAATATCACATTATGGTCATCGGACGTGTGCGTTTGTTATGCATGTGTCACATATCTTTGGAGTCATACATCAAATTTGATTAACTTGATAATCTGTTTCCTACATGTCATTTGCTTGTACAGTCTATACTTTGCTATTTCTCATCAAGAATATGTTGCATGATCTCAATCATTTTATATACCAACATTTTTTATGAAGGAGTTTGTATTGATTTCATTTTGGTCATAGATAAAATTACATAACTACTTAGTATTTAAAGCTGATTCCTAGTTGATTCATTTCAGTAGTTTTATATTTTGTATGATACGGATTTGCTTTCTACTCCTCCCTCTGTGTAGTGCAGTATCTTGCATAACCTATGAGAAATTATATTACTTTCAGAATTACACTAGGGTAACAAATATAATGTCAAACTGTTATCCTAGTGATTTAAGTACACACTCAAATTCGGAGATAATTTTCGTCCTCGAATCGTAAGATATCAGTTGTCTTGTCTTGTATTCGTAATTAACAACAATGGACACTCAATGCTGCACACATGATCAAAAATACGACTTTCATTTCTCGTAGTGAGAAAGACACATTTAAAACAATTGGTTGGAATCGAGTAAATTGTGATTTCAACTTCAACTAAATAACTGTAGAGCAACAATTATCCCATTTGATCAGTGTTGTTTATCTCGCTAATAACACCAATTATGATATTTTACTAGATGTACTGTAATCTATCTAACAGTTTATGTAAGTGTATCATATCAGTCGTAAGGCTTAAAACAAATCAAGTTTAAAACCATATCTAACCATTAATTCGGTGCTTTTTGCGCTTTAATGTCTTTCAATTAATAACAGGGAAGTATTAGAAACTAACTTAAAAGCTAATTGATTTCTAGATGCGCATCAAGTAAATTCTAAGCCAATATACCATTTTTCATACCATTATTAACCTTAGCTATATATATATATATATATCATATTAAAGAAAAGGTATATCCTTGTTGTTGTTTTATATATCATCGTAAAATTTGGTGAAATTTTCATTTTACTTTCATCCTATTCACTTGTTATCATCCGAAGTAATTTGAGTGGAAATGTTACTTTTTTCTAAATGAACCTCTTAACCTATTTGTTGTTAGCCTAAACACCAGTATTTATTATCATTGATTTGAATAGATAATTCAAAAAGCGTTCTATATTGATATGTATTTATCTGATGCCTAACCCTCAAGTATTTTTTTATATTTTTGAATATAGTTTATGTTTATTTAGTTCAGATTCTCATCAATATATTCATTAACAACTGATAAAACTCCTATGGTATTGAGGGGTTTTCTAGTTTCAATCATTTTAATCTGCCTTGTTAGACATAATTACTGATCGATAAGCGACAGTGATAAACAGTTACTCATGTCTCAACATGAATAAAGCATAACTTATAGTTGGCTTAATTAGCTCACAGTTAAAATGTCACAGTAGCATTTTAGTTGAACATTAAATGGTGGACTATTAATCAAAAAGTGAATATTGGTGGCTGAACTACTTGATCATCAACTGGTTTCAGTAGATATAAGTTGTCAAAAACAACGCCGACAATTTCATTATCATTCATTTCAACAACATTATCCACATTTTTCATGGATGTATTCAACACTGTGGATATAATTCAAAACCACGTAATAATTATCAATTTCATTATGTTTACTAGACTTGCAAAGGAAACTTGTCAGCTCACAAATAGTGATGAGTTATGTATATCTATTGTAAATCCTGCTACATATTTTCATAAACCGGTTTGAGCATTATATGTTTTTAATATTTATAGAAAGAGAATCTCACTGTTCCAAGGATGTTCATGCGCTTCAGAAGTAAGTAATAAACGTTTTCTTTATTTTAAACAGAAATTAGTTGACACACTAATGCACACTTCAAATATTTAGTCATTAATATTAACTTTAAAAAGGTCAAACTTACCTGATAGGGATGGTATTGGGTTACTTAGACAGTTTTTAAAAGACTGCTGAATGTTTGGTAAATGTCAACGTAGTTTAAATGTCTAGTATTCATCGAAATGAATAATTGGGTTTTTTTTTAATTTCAGTTGAAAAATGTTAGTGTACATTACTAAACAGGTGTAAAACACTAAAAAGAAATTTATCATAATTCTATCGCGATAATGACAGGAATTTATGACTTTAGATTGATGATATTCAAACCTCTAATTCATCAGTTCCTGTTATACGTACATAGTCTCAACAATAAAAAATTACAAACTATTACCAATCACATCATACCTATCAAATAAACTAGTTACTCATTGCATTCAGGACCTCAGTAAATAACTGACTGTTGTTTAGGTAGAAATGTAATGGGTTCAAGTTTCAATGTAAAGACCGACACTGATATTTAGATACATCTAGCTGACGAATACTAACTAACATAAAACACATGTTCTGTATCCCGCTGTTTTTTGCAATCTACACTTTATTTAATCAACCATATGAATAACCGAACTACCTTCCATGTTTATAACTTCTATTTTTCGACTACTCTCTGCTCATTCACATTTCAGCTTCTCATATCTGGCATTTACGAGCATATATCTTCCAAGCACGCAGTGTTTTAGCAGCTGATCAATCTGGCCTATCTGATCCGTTTGTGCGATGTTCATTTCAAGGGCACAGCCAAGAAACACAAATTATCCAACAAACTTTATGCCCAACATGGGATGAAACATTAATATTTGAACATATTGAAATGTGTGGTGATCCAAAATCAATACTTTCAGATCCACCACCAGTTATGATTGAGCTATTTGATTATGATCAATTGAGTTCAGATCATTTCTTAGGCAGATTACAGGTAGGGTTACACATATCGGTTGATACGTATAATTATTTCTACTCTTGTATTTTTCACTCATCGATTAACCACGGTAATTTTTGTACTATAATTAATACTGAATTGAGAATCAATTATGTATCGCGCGAACATCATAAATACGTAATTATGCTTAGTATATGTGCATAAAATTTACTTCGATTTCATTTTTACTGGTAATCTTACATCAGTCTAGGAAAATGAAAGCCCCATTAACACCACCCGATTACTTAGAATACATGTGGAAATCGTTCAATACTTTTTGAAGTCAAGTCGAAGTGTTTCAAAAAATAACTCATTTGAATGACTTTCAGAGTACTACCTTTTGCCTTTCTTGACCCCTATAGTAACTGTTACTAAATGGTTGGAACAAATGATTCCCCTACTCATTTTTACTTGAAGATAAATGATTTGACTACAATTTCATACAAACCATTTCTCTCAAATTTTTAGTGAGGCGTTTTGTGTTTGTTGGTCATATAAGAAGATAGTTTCGTCCACATGTCTTAAACTAGAGAAACATTGAGAAACAAAGAACACTGAGCAGATGTATTACCTATGTTTTTAAGTCATCAGAAGTGTTTAGTTCATAATCTGTCATGCGGTCGAATACAATGCCATGACATTTGATCACAAGCACTAGACAGTTAGATCTTTCTATCGAAATGCAAAAAGAACTATTCTATGACTTATAGTTAAAATTGTTTTCTCTAGATTCAAGTAAATGACAAAAATTGTATACATGTATTTACTTGATAATATTTTTAAAACTTGGGTATATGCTGCTTTTTTTTAAATGTTTCAAGATCACTCCTGCTGTTCGTCTAGACACAGAAACCACATGGGCAAATGTACTTCAATGGTATACAATAGAGAAAAATCGCAAAAAGGGTGGTGAAATATTGGCTGCTTTCGAGTTGATTCTGGTATGTTGAATGATGGCTTACAATAATGAATAGAAATAACAAGATTTTTGCATCGATATTTCGCCGTAGTTTCTTACACTGACTGAAATCTGTCAAGAGCTGTCAACAGTCCTAAAGAAGGTCAGTCGCTGCACATATAGCTCTGTAGTAATATAACAAGCTGTAAAGTTCAATGAGGCGGTTTCAAACTCAACGGGGAGTACCAATTCCTTCAAGACTGAAGATAGGACTTACCAATGAGTGCCGAATAGAATAAAACTTAGGTCCAGTGTTTCTTGTTCTCTAACTTTAAATAACTAAAAACAAATAAATAATGCAAACGTTATTACGATACTTAGACTGGTGGCCATACTGGTACTTGATCGATAGAATACAAACAGTTATAAAGATTGGACAAAATGATATTAATCAATACTCAGTAGTCCATCTATATTTCAACACATTTTATGTTCTATTTTTGGACAAAAAAGAGATATTCACTCATGATCCAACCAGGTCTTGAACCAAGGATATTAAGATCTTGCGGAGTACGCACTACTTTCAAACTACTGAGTTAAATTCCAAAGACTCACATTTTAGCTTTATTAAATTAAATTATGCCTCAACCAATTATCACGTAACAAAATCACCAAACACATTATCGACTTCTATGACCTTGTTCCTGTGCTAAACCAATGAAACGTCAACCAGCACCAGCAGCCTTAAGTTAGCTTCGACTGCATAATGGTTTTCTATATAGTAGCTTTTCACTTAGCCCTACCCGTTGACCCCAGAACACAATATCAACATCCACTGTATGAAAATTATATTTCTTCTTACGTAGTCTATATACAAGCAGATCAGACAGCATCACGCCGTAAAATATAAAATAATAGTTATACATGATCAACTCAAAAGTGACTGTGAGTATGAGAGACCATAACAAATAGATTGAGAATAAATTAAGGATGATAAATCGTATGATAGTAGACAGTACGTCAAATGTAAGCTTATGATAAATATAAAATATATATAATCCAGTTACTTGATAGTTGTACAATAAGGGTGCAATCACGCAAAACAATCAAATCTGACCATATCAATATCATTTCCTTCAAGTCAAGGTGACTTTCATGAGACTCTATCGTGTGTATCTGCGTATATTCTAGCGGGTGTAAAGGAATGTAATGCAGAAGATGGTTTGAATGAATTCGGGCCACCGAAGCGTGCAACAATATTTAACCACAGAAGTTAAGGAAAGAAGATGTCCAACCATTGGTCATCATAATTTTCTAACCAACTAATCTACATTTACCGATATGCCTCAAATCAGCAGTCGATAACTTCATGGATTATTAATAAGTCTAAGTTTGGCCACCCCTAGATTTTTCCCAACCCGGTTCATGCTTCACTCATCATTGTCTGTCTAGGTAGCGGTTGGCTGGGTATAAATTTAATATGTTTCAGCCACCTAAGTCAGTGAAAATTCATTGTCCTTCCAACTGATTCGCTATTTGTAGCTAGCACTTTAGATCTAACCTTGGCATCGGTTATTTGTTTGCTTCACCATACGCAACCAATAATTGAAAAATTTCTAGGGTCAAGCGCCAATAACTTTTGAACTACAAACATGAGTTCGAAAGTCACCACTAATCAGGTATTAAACATATTACGTATTCATAATAAATGATTATTTAAAAAAGGACTGAAAAACAAATTCAAGAGAAATTTTTCAAAAGTGATAAGTAATAATTATTTCAACTAAACATTCATATTTATTTAATCCTTTTCATATAACACATCCTTACAGCTTGATGGCAAATCTCCACCACCACCACCTACACGTCGTGGTACTTTATTCAATGTACCCGAAGGTATACGTCCCGTACTCCAACGTACTGGCATTGAAATTCTTTGTTGGGGTGTTCGGGCAATGCGTAAATATAAGCTAGCTAGTGTTAATTCACCGTCAGTAGAATTTGAAATCGGTGGTAAAGTAGTTGAATCAACAATCATAAAAAGTGTGAAAAAAAATCCAAATTTTGCATCGCCACTATTATTCTTAGATGTTTTATTGCCAAAAGAAGAAATTTATTTGCCACCAATGAATATATGTGTACGTGATCATAGAGCATTTGGACAGAAACCAATGGTTGGTGTACATGTTTTAACAGATTTTCAAGAATTCAAAGTACCAGCGAGAACATCACAAACAGATGTTTTAATGGATATACAAGGTAAGGATTATACTGCGAATGTTTGATCATTTCACAAAGAATATGTGGCTTTTAAGGAGGTCGTGATTTTGAAGGAATTTAGTGATTTGACCGACATTATCAGCAAGACACAAATGGTCTCGCACTAGCATCACGCTAATCGACTACAAATACATTAGCTTACCGAGCAAGTGCCGTAAACTTCAGATGTTGCCTTCAGTGTACCTAGCTGAACAATAACACAACTCTTCATATACTTTTTAATCGAGCTGAAATTACAACAGATAAATGATTTCATGCAACAAGATTACCTGATAAATTTAAGTAGAACAATAAGTACAAGGTATGCAGGATAAAATGAACTCATTATATTTCACCGTTTCTCATCAGTTGCATATAGCCCTAAATGACGATTGTCAATAAAAATCTAAACAAATATTTGACTTACTTTCTTTTATGAAGTTTAGATAAAGGTTCTAAACGTAACCGAATTCGTAATATGAAGAAAAAGAATTGATCGTAAAATGCATGAATGAGCACGTCAAGGTTGTTGCACATTTATGTGTTGGAAAGTAGTAATACATAGTAGCATAGGTAACCTTCTAGATACAAGTAATCATAATGATTATCTACATTATCAACTATATTAATGAAACGTCGATTTCTGAGTCAACTACTAACGAGGCACCATTACCAATGTTTGATTTGATCCTTTCGAATATACTGAGCATTGGGTAGATTGTTATAAATGAGAAATAATGTATTTGTAATATCTGGTATTATTTAAACTTGGTTTAATTTTGATTTGGTTGTTTATTCTTTGAAGAAGTGTCTTATACTGAGTTACGAAACGTCAGAAAGTCTAATTATTCTACCCATTGGAATATTACAAATAGATTATCTTATTTATAACTACTAGCTACAGACTTGTAGATCAGCAGGAATATTTTCTTGTTGTATTATTTGAATTAGATGGCTTAGTCATAAATCTTTTATTGTCTTTGTAAATAAAAAAGTGGCAGCAGGAACACCAATAGAATGTCTGTCTAATTCATGCTTGTTTTTTTGCTGTTACGATTATATCGTTCACCTATGTTTACAGTATGTCTTGACCATTTTGTCTCGTAATGCCAATAATACTTTTTCATTATTAGACCACCTAGATCAGAAAACTAGACATCAGTGTTGTTATTTCTTGAGTGTTCGTACTTCATCTTTGTTGAATGAATTCTTGAATTTTCAATGGCTTTGAATTGTACACCAGTGTTATTTCAAAAGGTAACTTTGTACTTCGAATACTGTATCTTTACTGTACAATCAGTAAACAAAATGCCTTCGGCTAACTCTTTTGTGATATTGTTATTTGCGCCACCGTTTTCCGTGGTGGTCTAGCTTCAACTGACTCATGATTTCAATCAGTAAACTTTGTCAAATCTCGACAAAACCCCTTTTGATAATATTTCTATTTATCTTCTGATATCTAACTCAAATGTCAAATTTATAAGTACACAATAAAAGTAGTAAAAAAAGTGAATTTTTGACATTATCAATAAACCAGTAACCAGACGTATAAACAAAATTTATCCGCATTTCCTTTTAAACATGTACAAACCAGTGGCATTGAAACTCATCTAACATTTGATATCTAGACAAATGAAATTCGATTCGGTTGTCTGAAAGGTAACAAGCTCATTAGATGATCTAAATGTCCTTTGTTTCCGATCCCACGTGTTTAAGTATAAGCCTATACTGCTATGGAGGACGAAACAATTAGTCGATGCTTCCTTATATAAAATAACTCTTTACATATAAATTTTCACACTGTTATATAAAGATGAACCTTATCAGAACTATGTGATTATCTCTACAGATAATATCATTTTTTTATAATGAAAACAGTTGTTAAGTTTAAAATCTGTTGATGAATTATCCAAATAGATGATAATAATAAACATGCAAACTGATGGTGTTCATATAAACCGTTTCATTCTTTTCTCTTGATTTCTCTCCCAAAATAGCCTTAACTGATATTGCTTGTACAACACAAGAGCCTTGTCTGGCTGAACCTAAAGTAGAGCTTCAATCACCAGTTAAAGGCAAATCGAAACAGAAGAAAAAGTTTGTAAGTGTCAGTGTCGTATTTTACGGCCATTTCAAAATTACAAATATTTCATTTATATATATATATATGGAAAATGGTATGGTTCAAACAAACATCCACTTCTGTCTAGTCGAAACAAGACAATATTCGTATTCAGCCATCACTTAAAAACGCTTTGTATCTGATTTATCGAAATCCTGTCAAGATGCGTTGCTTACAAGTGGTAATAGTTTGACAGAGAATATATATGCTCATATTGGGGTCACTCAATCAGTAATAAGCAAAGGTTCAGGAAGAAACAATCACAATAAACGCTAGAGCATTAGATATTCTAAAGGTATCAGTGTTAGTAGAAATGATTGAAGGAAGACAATAAGAGTGAGTTCATGATACAGAAAAGTATGCCAAAATTTTGAAACCCAAGAACTAAGTAAAGATAAAGAAAGATTTCATCTACACTATTGCTGATTCCAAATCATGATAGCTATCTCTCCAACCACTGTCTATGATAATTACACTTAGCCAGGTAGTCTACAAATATCAACATGGCTTATTTTGACAGCCAGTGGCTTCATATACCGCTGACACGTTTCAGTCAGGCAGTCCTTAGTTTACTTATCGTCTACTCCTACACTACAATCACTGTTAGTCGTGCTGAGCAGTGGTCGCGGATACTTAGTATATATCTCACACATTTCAGTCGACAAAATTTCGACATCTCATCAATCGACCTAATATTTAAACTTATCGACCTGCTCACTCAATGGTTCAAGCATACTATACTACATCCATGATCATTACTAATAACCTACGAATATCCTCTATTTTTAAAAGTTACAATTCAAAGCTATGAAATAAAACACAAAGATACTGAACAGTTTACTCATCGTTCATTGAAAAGACGGGTATCTCACCTACGAAAAAAGTATTGATCAATATAGTTGATGAGAAAGAAATTTCTATTTTAATTTCTTAAAATCTCACTTATGTAAACTAGTTCTGAAAAATCAAACAGTTTCAACAAATATATTATTGTAACAATAATTGCATGCTCATAAGTAAATAGGTTTGAGAAGAAATACCGAAATTCAATTGAGTAGTCCTGACTGGTGATGTTCAACCATATCTGTTGGTTATCATCCAGCTATATTCCAAATTGTCTAAAAGTCAGTATATGTGAACTAGTTGAATCCTGTTCAGCTGTTTTTGCTTAGTTACACTCTTCCTAGATCTGTTACTTGGTTGTGAATGCACATTCATGAGAATAGAAAAAACGAGCTGGAAGTCATTGATATAAATTTCGTGCTAGTTGGCGCTCTTCGATAAAATTCTAAATACACCTTGACGATAGGTCCCAACTAACATTAAATGCAGGCAGATAGGCCCTTGCCTATAATTCACCTAACATTAAAAGCATAGTGCATCATCAGTGAAATTTGATCCATCGCTGAGAAATACACAGTATATTATGGACTATTATTAAGCATCACTGAAAAGCGGCTTTCACGGTAATAAACCCCAATAAAAAAATAAGTGTATGACATTCATATTTTCAGTCAGTTATCTACCAAATTCGTAGCTGATAAACCCCAGGATACCTTTATGGTTAAATCTATTTACACTAGATGCTTCTGTATAAAACGTGGACCAAGTAAATATTTTAGTTTATAAGGATTTACAGTCTCCTGTTGCTGATATTCAACATCACAATTGATTGTCTCCTATCGCATATGCTCATCCAAAATTTAACCATTTATATTGCCTTTAAGTTGCAAGTACAATTGGATTAGGATTACATATTAAGATCAATAGACGTGTTTCACCTTAATCACTGCTCGTCAGCTGGAATAACCTGTATCGTACTTGATTTTATGGTTTTCCTTAATTCGATAGTTTTTATCTGCAAGGACTGAAAAATTACTCGAAACGTGAAGCTTTTGACTAGTTCTCGTCCGGTGCTGATGGTCAGAATTGCTAAGGAATTTCAAACTAGACTAATAAACTGCTGAATGCTCCCTCAATATTAAATATTTCCCAGTTGACATCAATCGAAGATGAAATGAGAAATAGAAGAATTTAAAACTTGATCAATTATCAATGCAGATAGATTTAGTTCACTTCTAGTAGAGTTTACTCGTTAATAACCACATGAAATATACATATGGTTGTTTGTCTTTAAAAAAGTTCAACACAAATTTTTTGTACCTAGACAACTGAGGATTTATCGCATCCAAAGAGAGTCAAAGTTGTAACCGGTATTGTTGCTGAACAGAAGCCTAGAAAAAAGTGGAAATTTCTAAAATCCAAGAAGGTCCAGTCCTTAGAAATCCAGGTGCTTGTCAATCTTTGCCAAAAAACAACTTGTTACCTTTTTATTGCATATCTGTCCGTTGTTTACTGGTCACTTGCAAAAAAGTGATTTTGGGTTTCGGTCTGATTTTTACTCTGTTTACTTGCACTTTTGAAATTGTTAAGCACCTAAGTACCTCAGTGTACTTGAAAAATGACAATAAAAACTGGGTTTAAGGTTTATTGTCAGTTGTTTTGTACTTTTTTAAAAAAAATATTTATTTCAATTTTCAGAGCAGTGAGATGTCATGTATTTCCCGAAATGTGACAGTTGATAGTTTAGTTAGTTTTTTTCTTTATTTTATACAACTGCTATTTCAGTCCTGTTTGTTGTGTCATTTTTTCTATCACACATACCTATGAGTACATCCTTGTTTGTATCTTCTGGTATATGATACACGTCAATTCACTGATGATTTCGCTTTTTATATCATGTCTAATTGCACTTTTATGCATTTTATGTCAAAGTACTTGACATTCGGTCTCTTCAGACAAACACTTCATAATGATATGTTTAGTCCTCTAAAACAAAAGAATTGTTCCTTAAATACATGTTTTCAGTAAGGTTGCTCTATATAAAAGAGAAAATGAACAAATAGTTAAGTGAACAAGAACACGATTGGGGTCAACTGATCGTACTTGAACACAAATTTACAGAATATCTCACTAAAATCTGAGAAGCATACAGGAAATACTTAATTTGCAAAATATCAAACGATTGTCTCAAACTTGACTGTTTCTTTTGCAAATATCAGTCCATCGTCCTGCATTTTCATACAAATTGCTTTCCATTCCCGTTGTTTCCTTCTCGATCTTCCACTGAAATACATATAATTCCTGACTATCGTTATATATATATATATATGTATATATATATATATATATATATAGCTCACCCGACAATAAGATTTACATCAGATACATTATGGAATAATTGTAGAAATTTCATTTTCAGTAAACTATGAATACAATTTTTCTAATCTACTACTTTTTAGCTATTAATAAATCTTTTAACTTTTCAATTATTTTTGGTGTTGGTGTATTAATCAATTTCAATAATATGCTATGTTATGCTTTGATTCTAAGTCATTATGAAGTAATATTATTTAAGATTGATAATTGGATGTTGTATATTGTTAGGATCTTTATTTGTTATACAGAGATATTGACAACTGTTAGTTTTGTTTATTCTTTGAAACAGACAGAAAAGTAACGTCTAAAAATATCTTGAATACACGATTGAATATTGTTGATTGTACTCACGATATATATATATATATATATATATATGTACAGTAAATTACTCAATCATCTATTTTATTCTTTCTACACTAGATAGTTTGAACCAGGTATGATAGTGAACTGATTTTGGTGGTCAAAACATTTGGTTTTCAACCGGTAGATTAATCACTTCAGTGCTGTGTCGCCTCTCTCTGTTTTAAACAATTATGAAGGGTAGTGGTAGATCTCAAAGAACAGTAGGGCTCGTAAAACAAGTACACAAACCTTCACTCGAAACATTCGTACCATGATATGATGATAACGATAGGATTGAAATTAGATTATGGGATAAGGAAGGGATTTATTCCATTAAAATATAAACTGCACAATTCTAGGTAGCCCTTCTGAAACAAATGTTTATGTACATATGTGTACACATAAACTTTTTTCTCGAAAATATTATCACTGTTAATATTTCTAAAACATGACCATTGTTCTTTATTTAGATGGATCTTAAACAAATTGATGATAAAATAGATTGGTGGTCGAAATTCTATGCATCGATTGGTGAATGGGATAAATGTTTAAAATATAAAGAGTTTGGTTATGATACAATTTGTGTAAGTTGTCTATTGATCAATTATTATTAGTTCTATTTATTGTGGATTAATAAATTCTTGGATAAATTACTTCCTTTTTTTAACAAACTGGAAATTTACTTATTAAATAACATTAAGATAGTCTATGAACATGTCAATTTGTCATTTATTTTCATAAGTTTAACATGTGACACAATGGTATGAACACTTCAAATATTTAGGTATAGAGTGATCAATTCAAATGTTTTAGAACCAACTTTACTATTACTCTTTTGATAATGTGTTGAATTTTAGACGTTAAACAAAACGCAAAGATCATTATATATATAGTCCATTACCTATGAATGAGTTTTCTTCAGTAATTAGTCCTACTTGATTTCATGAAATATAAAAACAGCTAATTTAAACGATGAACTAATACAAACTACCGTGTATTTGAATAGTAAGTAATCCAAAATCTTTGGTCGAGTTTTAACAGTCAGCTTATGGGTTACTTACATAAACGTGATATTTCCAGAGATGATTGTTGTCCTTTTATCGATTAATTTACAAACGAAGGAGGTACAGACAGTTTTCTTGAAACTTGGCAGGAAATCATTGCTTAGATAGAGGATTAGGTTTTCCTGTTGTTGATTCTAAGGCCTGCATTCGATCAGCCCCTGTTAATATAATGCAACCCGAGAGGCTTGTCTTATTATTGATTTTAGTTACTAGTGCGATTGGAATGTGACTAAAAATAGAAACCATGATTTCCGATTTGTTATAACTTGTGCCCTGTTGGTAAATCACGCGATACCATCGCCATTTAACGTTACTGACTTATTGACTGAACCAATGACACATAAACCAGTACGAGCAGCCTTGAGTTCCTATTGGTTTTCGAGATAACAGCTACTCGTCTAACCCATTTGATTCAGTCAGAACGCAAATATCAGTCTCCGTTGTATTGAATCATGTTTGAAACATACTTGATTTATACACAAGCAAAATTAAACCACATTTCATCCTAAAATAGAAAGTAACATTTGTAAAAGACCAAGCCCAAAAGGTGGCTGTGATTGTGAGAAACTGTGACTAATATATTCGGAATACCTTGTGAATAGTAAATCATATAACAGCACCCAATATGTCAAATAACAGTTTGTATTAAGAGGAATATTAAATATATACAGTTAAGTTTCTTAACTGTTATACAATAAGAAGATATGTATAGAATTAGTTCATAGTTAGTTTCTAGCGATTACGATTCATTTATTCTCATCAGGGTATAACACGATTCTGGTTGTTTGGGTTTCGGCAGGTAGATATAAATATTTCCCCGTGCTGATGTCCAGGCTGAGATATCGACGCAGCACCTATCGCTCCAAGCACTAATGATTTAATTATTGAGTTCAGATAGCTACCAGTTAGTTCGATGGGTATAATAATTTATGTTATCGTGCTGTCGACATTCAGTACTTAATTGTGATCTCTAGCTTCGTAAATAACCCATCAGCGATTGAAGTGATGAGCACAGGATATACTTTCCAGAAAATAATACGTTTCTTTGGACTAATAAATGAAGCATTCACTTAGTGATTAAAAGATTCAACTTTCAAGTCCAATCTTTGATTCATCTATTTCTGTTTGTCATATGACTCGACAAGACACACTTATATATATATATATATATATATATATATATATATATATATATATTTACTTTTTTTCTTCTAAGCAAATGGTTGTGCTTGATATACTGATCAAATTTCATAGACTAACTGACATTTTATAAGTCCAGTGTAGATTTCATAAGAAACAGTGAAAGAACTAAGTCAGAATCATTTGTTGGCTGATTTTCACCAATATGGGACACTAGTCAAAAACTTGAAAAGTACTCAGTACTGAGCAGTATTTCCCACCCAGTTTCATACTCCTCAAGAGTGTACACCCTAAATCCTTAACAGTCCGTTGAATATAATACCTTCTTGTTTTGTGGTGAGTACAAATTCAATAGCCAATCTGTAGCTAAATGAGTTTACAACAAATCTTCAAAATTCATTCAAGCAAAGTTTATTTTCAATTCATTTTCACAAATTGAGCATCTACTTTTTTTCTTATGTTTCAGGTTTATCCTCATCCATTGGAAGAAGTGGAAGGATTTAATGGATTTACGGATTTCTGTAATACATTCACGTTATCAAGAGGTAAAAATGTTGATGAAGATGAAGATAATTATGCCGGTGAATTTAAAGGGACATTTCGTATTTATCCATTACCAGAAGATCCAAAAGAACAATTACCTATACGTTATTTTGAGAAATTAAGTGTATCTTCTGATCCGGAAGAATGTATGTTACGTGTTTACATTATACGCGCGATTGATTTACAACCATCAGATTCATCAGGTTTGGTAAGTGAATAGTTCCAATACACTTGTTCTTGTCATAGCTTATTGTCCAATTTCGTTACTTGGTCCACAGTTTTGAAGCCTAACTAATCCAACTAGACAGGGAGAGAAATTGAGGGACTGCTTAGGGAGTTGGATTTACAAGTAGCTAAATAAAATAGCTCATAATTAAAGAGTATTTATAAATAGCTTATGTGATTTCGTTTAGGTGAAAAATCAGCTTAATTATTGGTACTCACACATATTTGAACCTAATTTAGCAACCTATCCTCATATTATCGTCTAATCTGATTTGAAGCATTATTATCTGTATATTATCGAGAATTGTTTTGACACACTTCTTCATAAACGAAACACTTAATATTTAACTATTGACCTTAAAGCATATACGAACTCACCAGAGATCGAACCAATGAACTACAACTTAAGTACGCCTTCAATTCAACAACGTTTCCTGTTAAACTCAAAACATTCTTCTTTTGAATTGATATTTGAAGCTAAATAGGCAAATATTCAACGACTAGTACAGTTGTTGTTTGTTTGACATAAATAGCTCATTGCAAGTTTTGGTGCCTTCAGACCTACCATAAGTATACCATGTGTAGTTTCTGTTTAACCAAGGAATTTTGGGCATTTCATCCATCTGACGATAACAGTTTCAAGTGAAAACAAAATATAATGTTACTTTGTTTAGGGTCAGTTACATATTTTGCTATATTCCGGATAAGCTGAAGTCGAATAATCTACCATTTGTCTTCGATGGCGACCCAACGGCCGATTCCTACCATTTTCTTAGAATAGACTAAAATTTCTAGGCTCAAACTCATATGAAGTCAGTGTGTATACTTTCAAGAGATCTTATCATTAAATGAAATAGCTTCTCCGAGTTCTGAAATTAGTCTGACTTTATGATAAATTCGTAATGATGTTGAATATGCAAGTCCCTTCAATATGCTCGGTTTTACCTCGTCAAAAATAATTTTAGATAACCAACATAAATCGTTGAAGTTTGGTATAATATCTACATTAACTAATCCCTGGATGGACTCAGTGTCCTTTCATTCAATCCGTCCTGTTGACTGAATTTTGTTTAGTCAACATGAAACTTTTGTAAAGATTTCATTTTGACTATCTTCTCTTACTCAGTAAAAATCTGTTTGTAAGCTTGAAAACTCCAATAATTGTATCATTTGATTTGCTCATTGAGCATAATGAATGTCACCATCGTTAGATACTTTGAGGTAGTCTACTGAACGACCTAGGCTCAGGTTGTTCTACATGACACTCATGAGTAAAGCGTAATCTTGAAGGGACCAATGATGGTGAAGACGTAAATTAGATCAGCGCTTAGAACTAGATAACATGAGATTGATCGATACTTAATTACCAATTAGTGTAAATAGTTCAGTCTTATGGGAATTAATCATATTTCGAATTGATTAGCGGGAATTTCTTTGATTACTATATCAGGTGATATGGTGCCGTGGATTTTTTTCGAGACAATTCCCAAGGCTTCATATGTCACTTGTCCTTGTTATTAGATAACTCTCCCGACGGTGCATAAACTTCAGAAGACAATTTCGAAGCGTTAACTGTAACCATAAACACACCAAGTGAATTTCAGAAGAAACGATAATATAAGAGAGATAGCGAGTAAAGAGGTGTATTGAGAGTCGAATGGATTGATAAGAATTTTACTGTTCAAATGACACTGAAAAATAAGTTAATTAAAGGGTTTAACAAAATTAAACGTAAATATAAATGGAACATAATAGTGAGCTCGAATCCATTTGGTCAGAAATTTTAAGATACTTTGATTTGACATGAGCTAACGGATACGGAAATTAGATTTAAGACATTATTGATTATTTTTAACTAGTGTACACACTGCAGCTTTGTCAATAGAGTTCAATCGTTCATAATAAATCGACAATACGACATTAATTGTTACGTAGAGACTTTATTATGACACATATATTCTTAACAGTAGAAACAGTATTCTCTATTCGTTTAAATCAGCAGCTCATTTTCATAATAACCTTATTTTTATTGTTTTATCCCAAACGTTTTAGGCTGATCCTTATGTGGAAATCATTGTAGGTCAGCATAAAGTTAATTCGAAAGATAAATATCTTCCAAATACTTTAAATCCAGAATTCGGAAAGTAAGTTTCCATTGAGAATAATATTTCTTACGATTTTATAGTATTAATATATAGTGGGAACTACATTGCAGAAGAGTGTTAGCCGTAAATACCTTTCTAGTATGAAGTAAATGGTTTTTTGCTAAGCCATGTTTTCAGTAAATGAAGTTCATAAAATAAAATTCAAACCAAGTCCTCCATTCAAAAGTTTTATATTGTTAGTTCTATTAAACACAAGATGCAAATGGACTGTTGACCAAACAATCATTACAAGCATATTAACACATGGTTTGTAACTAGGGTTTGTTGCAATTTTAATGTTTAAGTCACTTGACTCGCGGGGTGCGGGATCGTGGATGCGCACTGCTGAGGAGTCCCATACTAGGACGGAACGGGCGTCCAGTGCTTCCAGGTTCTCCATGGTGGTCTAGCTTCAGTTGACTCATGATTTCAATCAGTGGGACTTGACATTCCATCCAAGATTATAAACAGGATTAAAACCAGAACTATTATGCCTTCGAATAACGAGGCGGAATCCACTGCTTTCTATTTTGAATCCTCATCAGCGATATTCTGTAAAATGGTTGTTCTGGACATCACCTAATATACATTTTTACGTGTGTATTTTTGGATTATAGCGAAACAACTGTCTAGTGTTTCTTATTTTTCAGAGATTTGTCAAATTATCCTAGTCTATAAAGAATATTAATCTCAGATTAAACAATTTCCCCACCTATAGTCATACATAAAACTTTCGAATCTATGGTTGACTGTGTTTTCCAGTCGGAAAGACCAATTTTTTATCATAAGTTCTATCTTATGATACAGCGGTTCATTTCAACGCATTACTATACCTGAAGTTGATTACGTTCAAGTACTAGTTATCAGTTAATGGTATATCAGTCAGTCAGTAACAACGTAGAACTTCGTACGTACGTACACCGGTTCGAGTTGCCATACCACATTAGCACAGAGATGCAGTTGTCGATTCAAATCCCGTAGTGGTAGAGGTAGCAACAGTATAAGCAGTAATCGCGAAGATTAGGGTTTGGAGATGTTATTTAAAGAGTATAATCCAGTGAAATAAATTTGGAAAGAGGAAAAAAGGGACATCGAGAATTCAGAAGATTAGGATTTGGGAGAACACAAAGAGTGGATCCACCTGCGCCATTGCAAACGATTTTGTGCCATGTCATTCAGGGTCTCTAACCATCGGTCGCAATCATCTCGCGGTCCCCAACCAGGTAGTCTACACCTACCAACATGACTCAGTCCACTTGTCAGTGACTTCATGGACTTGTGCCATGTTTTGGTTTGGCCGCCTCTAGCTTTCTTCCAACCTACTCCTATACCACTGAACATCGCACGTCGAGGCAGTCGGTCGTTGGGCATACGTAACACGTGTCCCAGCCATCTCAACTGATGAAGTTTCACTACTTCATCAATTGATTTGCCATCCTTACCTAGTACCCGTTTCCTAACAACTGTGTTACTTACTCGATGGTCCCAGGATATACGAGCAATGCTTCGAAGACACCTATGATCGAATACTAGTAACCTACGAATATCCTCTACTCTTACCGGCCATGCTTCACTGCCATAAAGTAGGACGGGACGAATTGCTGCGCAGTAAACCCGTCCTTTGGTTGATAGACGGATATCTCGCCTACGCCATAAATGGCGCAAGTTGGCAAAAGCTAGTCGAGCCTTCTGTATCCGTGCTGAGATTTCGACACACACCAGACCACAATGGCTGATGAGACTTCCAAGATGAGTGATGCGGTCGACACACTCAACTACTTCACTCCCTGTCATTAGTTTGGGTGTTAATGCAAGCCAATCCTGAAGCAACATTTTGCATTTCGAGGGGGGAGAATCGCATCTCAAACATTCTGGGATTGTTGCTTAGAGTGGTCAAAAGACTGCATTTTTTCCATTGCAAATGATATGTAATTGCGTAGATCACAATCACTTGAATGACAATGAGTAACGTAGACGACTGATTATTGTTGACATAAAATTGTATTGTCAGCTCAAAATCTATCCCTCTTCAATGAATGAGTATCAAAGGACAGGGCAATAGAAACTGTCCATTTTAAACAGAAAACTACATATTTGTTTACCGATTGCATAGCAACGAAAACAGACGTGGCATTTTAAAGCGTAGATGAATCCAGGATATTAGTTTTGTGAGCTGTCCACTATAAAATTAGGATCCACTTATCAAGATTAATTTCTATCCCCCATATTAGTAACTGGTCAAAATTATCTCATCCACTAAGAGCACGAAAGCGGTGAAATGTTATATCAGCTAATTTCTCCGTTTACCGAAGTGAAGTTGGTATTTTATCGAAATTGACCTCATATCATTTCATTACGTTTATAAATTGTTTTAGAATGTTCCAAATGAAGTGTATTTTACCCATTGAAAAAGAACTACATGTTATAGTGAAAGATTATGATGCAGTTGGTGCAGATGATGTAATAGGTCAAACAGAAATTGATTTAGAAAACAGACGTTTAACAAAATATCGAGCTACATGTGGCCTACCACAATCTTACTGTGTTTCTGGACCAAATCAATGGAGAGATTCAAAATTACCAAGTGAAATATTACTAGCTGTATGTGATAGTTACTCATTACCAGCGCCACAGTACGGAGAAACAACAGACATTAAACCAAATCCAAGTTGCCGTGTTGGTCAACGCGTATTTGTACTGGAAGATTTTGAACGTGGTATGGTACCAAATCCACATTTAGGACCACCGAAAGAACGTTTGGCCTTACATATTTTAAATAAACTTCCATTGGTAAAAGAACATGTTGAAACGAGGTTGTTGTATAGTCCATTACAGCCTAATATCGAACAGGTTAGTTAAGCGATTATAGATACTGTTTTTTCATTTACATTTATACTAATAATTGGTATTGGATAATGTATTATCTGACGGGAATAGTTAACCTAATGTTAGTGTTATGTAAATCTAACCTGATTGCTGTGATGTAAACGTTTCTACTTTTATGAAAAAAGAATATCGCTCAAGAAATTCAATAGAGAAGTTTCTTGTGTCATATCAGTACATATAAAGAAATCCATCAAATTGACAAAAACAATTTTAATTCGATTTCTTTGAAGAATCTATGTTACATCATTAATGAGCTTAAGAAAATAAACAGTCATATATGACTTAGTTTTGACCATAGTAACGTGTTATTTAGCGAAAAACTATATAAACCTTTCTTAGATAGCAAGATAATAGATCATTTATTTGACTTCAGAAGATTAAGAAATAAAGTGAACAATCAAGTGAATGACTAGGTCGATGAGAAACACATCATTCAATCAAATTATCAAAATGTCTAGACTTTAAGATATCATCCAAATTATCATAAGACCTTAATTATTTAACCGCATCAGATATCTTTAACTTTTAAAGTAAATGATCATTCGACACATTCACTAAATTTATCAACGCTATCCGACTTGAAAGTGATTGCCTTGTACACGGGGAATATTCTGAACATATACTGAAGAGCATACCATTTTGTTTGAAAATATATAGACTTATCTAGCGGCCAACAGAAGTGTTTTAACAAAAATTTTGATGTACGACTTATTGATATTTTATTGAATAAAGCCATTTTCATTCAAAATTGGTCTATAAGTCCAGGTATTCGTCAGCTTAATTCAGATCAAATAACCAAGTATTATTGATAATCCGTGCAAGAAGAGCGGAAATCAAAGCTGCGTTCATAAATGCGCACTAGGTAAATAAATGAAAAAGACATTTAATGTTTAGATTTTCTGAATAACTGAGTAACCTCTAAATTTTGAACAATGGAAAAAAGAATTTACGCAGCACCCATTTTGATTATAAGGGTTCGTATTAATCTGTTGTTGATTTGGACTTGAATCAGACCTTGTTGATTTATTGACAGGATGTTTTTGTTACAAGTTTTTAGTAAGTAGGGATTAGGGCTAGCAATAGAATCTAGAATAAGTAATTCGTCCTATTTGTGACTCATTAGATGGATGTGACTGAACTTTAATCTTGATGTTTATTATAATGCCTGAAAACAGTACCTATCATTTTAGACTACAGTACACTATTTTTTAAGCTACTGAGTCCAGATATTCAATAACATGTTCAGACGGTAAGATGCTTCTTCATATATATTTGTATTATCCTATGACTTATACTGAAAACTAAACTTTAATAAGTCTTTGCTGACATGTGTATGTATCTTTTTTCTCACAATATCTATTTCAGGGTAAATTGCAAATGTGGGTTGATATATTTCCAACATCCTTAGGTGAACCTGGACCACCATTCGATATTTCACCAAGAGAACCAAATGAATATATATTGCGTTTAGTTGTATGGAATACATTTGATGTTGTATTAGACGAAAAATCAATAACTGGTGAACAGATGTCTGATATTTATGTTAAAGTAAGCAAGAAATCACTTAGTTTAGACTCATATAAGTAAATAATAACACCTTTCATCAGTTTTCACACTCCTTATTACTTGACAGTAAGTGGTTTGTTTGTGAAATAAAAAATTCTGAACTCTTGAGTAAATTGTATAGTTTGATTTGTATATAGATTCCCATAGAATGATTGCTTTTCAGAGTATGTCTTAATAACATAACCCATGTTTGCGTACCGGAGTTCCATATATCCTTTATGTATAGGAGCTAAACGATACTAGTCAGGCACGCAAATCAACGCGGATGGCAGGAACATATTGAAAAAGTTAACATAATAAGTCAAACTTTTATTCACGCTAAACAACGAGTAAATGCGTCAGAGTAAACATGACAAGGAAATATTCCTTCAAAAAACATACTCATAATAATACGTTAAGTCCGCTGATATGAATCCTCTCATTGTCACAGACCAGTTAATTTTTGAAATATATATTTTGAAACATGTTCAAAAATGTTTTTATTAAATACTAAATTCTTTTCCTCCTTATTTTTAGGGGTGGTTATCTGGTTTAGACGATCGTCAAAAAACTGATGTTCATTATAGATCATTAAACGGTGAAGGGAATTTCAACTGGCGTTTCGTATTTCCATTTTTTTACTTACCAGCTGAAAATAACATAGTTGTTAAACGTAAGGAACACTTTTGGTCTATGGATGTTACCGAACAACGTGTTCGTCCACAATTAGTAATGCAAGTTTGGGATAATGATTTATTTTCACCGGATGATTTTATTGGGACATTAGAATTAAATTTATCTAATATGCCTAGTCCATCAAAAACACGTAGTAAATGTTCACTGAACATGTTGCAATCCGTTGGCAATGAAACGAAATTGGTTAACCTATTTGAATGTCGACGACTGAACGGATTTTGGCCATTTGTTAATGAAGAAAGTGGAACTCCACTTTTAACTGTACGTTTACATGGAAAAAAAGAAAGAATACCTAAATCTAAGTGATTATTCTTTTCTTATTTAATGAAGCTCCCTTTTCAGTTTTGCTTACGATTACCAATAGTAACTAGTTTCAGGATATAACTGTGGATCCCTCGTAATATTAACATGATCATCAATAAATTTTTATTGATTATTTTATAATCTAACATAAATACGGGGATTTCATAGTTTCTAACAAACGAAGTTGATTTTTTAAAATATGAAGCTTAAGGCCAACGAATCACTTTTCTTATCTTACAGATTTCTAATTAAAAGTGATTCCAAATGAAACAAGATCATTCATTCTTTGCATATACACCTGACGAGTGTAAGTAGAGAAAAGTTGTAATAGCAAATCAAGTCTAATAAGATCTGCAGTATAATATATAATGGCTAGTCCTTTAAACTATTCAAATTAAAGCCCATCTACGAGGAAACTAGACCGCAATCCATCATGATGTATAGCTCAGGATAAGTTATTTTTAGTGATCTCTATCATCCAGTTTGTTGCTTTCATTCTGTTCAACGACTATTTGCTCAATATTTGAATTCTTGAAGGAAATCACAGTGAAACATTTCAAAAGATGAAACGATACTATACTTACTAAGCGAATACAGATAATTAAAATGTTACACTACTAAATGTATTCATTCGAGCTAAAGCGTTTTACAAATATTTCAATATAATCTGCTTCCAAAATGCTTGAAATCTTACGCTAATAAAGCATTGAAAGGATTATATTTTGGCATAGTTTTCATCACAGAGACTTCAGCTGATCAAAAAATGGGGCGTTGGGTAGTTGACTTTTTCTAGCAGAGAACTTCTTAAATGAGCGCTCATATCATTACCAGGGCTCAAATCCCTAGATCTCGTGGCGAACTCGTTATCTACAAACAAGTAAGGCGGAATAAAGTGGTCAGCATTGTCCACTTCAGTTATTTTAAAGTAATGAGTTCGATCGTAGGCACACACTTCAGTGCGGATTTATGTAGAATCTCGGACTACGATGAGTACTACCTAGTTCTTAGCAGTAGACCAGCTGAAGTAATCTCATGACGAACTGATTCATGCTCTTCAACTAATCAAATAACATTTTTTTCACTAAAGGGTAAAATCGAAATGGAAATGGAATTGGTAACAAAAGCAGAAGCCGATCTTCGACCAGCTGGTAAAGCACGTGAGGATCCAAATGAAAATCCTCACTTAGAACAGCCAAAGTAAGTTGATTGAACAAACTATTTATCGTATTCAAAATCAATCACCATTTTTTATAATAGACTAAACAAATAATAAGTAATACGGCATTCCATATAGACTTGTGTATAGTTTGACGACTATTTTTGTAAAAAACGGTCACCAACTGGACAAGCACTGAGAGCCATGAAACAATGAATAGCATGTAACCATCAGGATGTACTACTGCTGAGCCTTAGGTCAGGACGAAATACCAATATAGTTCTCCTTGACTTCCAATGGTTATCTAAGTGTCCATGTTTGGTAATGAATATTATTTCCGAGAGAAAAATTATAAACTCCAATTTGCAATTGATGGGGGCTGGGTGGATCTGTAGTTCAACAAGGTACTCCGTGATTAAAGCAATAAGAATAAAAAAGTAAACGAAGTGTACATTTTAACCGCCTATTAGTCTACAATTTTCAAGGGTTCTTCATTCGATTCTTCGGACTTGTGTAATGTTCAAAACTGAAGATATTTAAACTATACCTGCTAAATGTTTGGCTGAATCTGTAATAAAAAATTGATGTAAAAATCTGTTTATTTAAAACTTCAGTGTTTTCCAGTTGAGATGATGAAGAAAATGAGGATGATAAAAGTAGATAACTTGACTATACAGCATTCAGACTGTAGTAGAGTATAAATTTCAATGGAAAGCTGATATGAGTCGTGATCTCCGAATAATTATTCAAAATCTAATCACTGGATGCAAACAGATGAAGTAAAGTATAGTAAATTGGATAAATGAGCACATCAGTTAACTGACTGTAATAAACATTTGTTTCATATAAGTGATTTATTTGGAAACATTTATCCTACAATGATACTTGGTCTCTTATTAAACTTCACAAATTTCGAACTGAATATGAACAGATAAGTTAAAACTATTCTACAATTCTCTTATACAAATCCATAAATAGATAAGAAGGTAGCTGCGATGAAAAAGTTGTACCTTTTGTTTTTTTTTCCAATTTCAGACGTCCAGAAACGTCATTTTTATGGTTTACATCACCGTGGAAAACATTCAAATTCATTATATGGAAAAAAATGAAATGGGTGATTATCGCGTTATTGATCATTCTCATCATTGGCTTATTAATAGTATTATTTGTATATGCTATACCGGTGAGTCTATGGTCACTATGTGTATGATATGATAATTTTGTTGAATCAATTTATTATTATTTTTTTAATAATCTTAAGGCAACTGTGATCTGACACTAAATGGGAGACAACTGAATACCTGAAAGTAGTGAATACTATGTCGTTCTAATTTGTGATCATAGTAATACATAAAGGCCCGAGATTACAGTGTTGCGACTCGAATGACATCCTCAAAATAATTAAGTTGGAAATTTAATGACCCACAATGTTTGTTTAAGTTGATTGATTTACATTTAATGTAACTATTAGTTTAGTGAACATTATGTAGCTGGTTAACTCAATTATATACTGTGTATTAAATTTTTTGCACAGTTCAAGGATTGATTTCTATCATGAATTGATATGGGATGGGATAAACCAGCGAATACCTGTCTCATCTTTATTTATTGATTCTACAAATTTGTATCTTCAAACCGACACGAAACCAAACTCAACTCTTCTCATATTACTGGAAGATAGTTGAATGATATAAGCGCACATTTTATACTCATGAGAATGAGTATTTATGGGTATGAGAGATTGTCCAATGACTTAGATTCCATGATGTCAAGGTATAATTCTGTAGTGGACTAATGACACATTGAAAATGAATCTCAGTTCACTACAAAGGCCGGTACCTAACTACTAGTTATTAGCATAGTCAGGTATTTATTTGGTTAATAAGTTGATGCTTACAATAGTGATTATTTCACTGATTGTTTACGTTTATCACAACCTGAAATCAGTTGATAAATGAAGGAGCATTGAAAAGTAATAAAAATCATAGTTATAGATAATACAGTTCGCATTAATGATGTGCTTTGAAGAATAAGGTTAATGCATTTTGTACGAAATCGAGCATTGATATGACTGAAGGAAAACTCATACAGTTGGAGAGAATGAAAAAGATAAACATTAATGATGGGTGAAGGTTGATCCAACAATCAAAAGTACTAGATTTTCTTTTTAAAATAATATCTCAACACAGATTTACTTTGGATGACTAGTTATTATTTAAGTAACTATGAAACGAATGCCATAACTGAACTAGTAGGAATAAAAGCATATCAAACTGAATCAATACATAACCGTACACTTGATTCTATTGAATGAGACAATACTCCTTAAAATTAAGAAAACGAGAAGAGTTTTACATAGAATCTTGGTTCATTCATTGGTTTAACTGGATTTGCGATTGTTCAACCACATCAATATCAAACTCATTATTTTCAGAGATTGTACGAAGAACACATCGTTAAATCATCAACTGTGAAAGCATTACGATCACCTTATTATTCCTTTAGCTTATCACATCATGACTCACGATTTCCAAACACATTCACTCTAAATGACTGATTGGTGATCAGAAACCAGTGTCAGATTGATTGAACCCCTAATACTAACCGAATATCATCGATTAGATTCTAATGTGGTTATTAGATTGAGCGACTCAGTATCACATTCACTGTTTTCGGTTGGAAGTAAATCGACAGAATGTTTCGACTAGATATAGTTTGTGTAAGCTTGTAGTTGTCAGTAGGACATATCTGCGACTTTAAAGGAAACGATATTCCATATGTGGCACGAACCATAAAGTAAGTACCGTTGTATTTGTACTTCATTTGTTTTCTTGTTAAAACATTTAACGATACTGATTGTTCTTTCTTTTTTTTATTTTAATACAATTTCAGCCACTTTTGGCGAGGAAAATGGTTGGAGTTTAAATGATCGTTACGAGACCCTTGATTAATATTTTTTAAAATTCACTCTTAATTGCTATTTTACTTCAAGCTTATTATATTTAAAATAAAACTGACAATAATTTGTTAAAATTTCATGAACAGTCATTTATTCTTCCGAATAAGAAAGAACCTGTTTTAAACGAGAATTTTGCAACCGGGAAAATCCACTTTATTCTCTGTTTGTTTTTATCCAAAAATAAAATAGGTTTTATGATCTGAATGATATGCATAAAGGACACAATCAAATTTACTTTATCATGTGTGTGTTCTCTTTTGGAAATTGTGATATCTGGTTTTAACCCAGTTATATCAACACTTCCACTCAGAGTGGAATTTTTGAAAACTCTTATTTATTTTAAAAAGAGGAAAAAAACCTACAGAAATCTTCTAGTAATTTGATTGAAAGATCTTAATGAAGTCACTTTTGTTTTTCTTTTGATCTTTCATCAATTCTTATCTAACATGTAATACAGAGTTTCGAAAAAAATATAATTACATACCACCATAGGTGATGGTAAAGTTCAACTGGGAATGGTTGATTTCCCCTCCTATAATTAACCCACTTACTCGTATCTTATTTAAGTAGTTCAACGAAATGATACCAAAATTGGTTCACGTCTTCCAATTAAATTGGCTACTAAGTAGGAAATAACCCATCTTCATTTCTTCTTCGACAAATAATAATAATATTTCTTCAGTTTTGGCCTTTTTTTAAGTATGCAAACGAGAAAAATATTCCAATTTCTTATTTTTGAAAACATTATACACTTTCATTATGGTTAAAATATATGTTTCAATTTATTTTTATGCAATGATCACGTACTGTTTTTAAAGTCAATTTAGCTAAATAAAAATTCTGGACGCAAAAAATTATCATAAAAGGCTATTTCTTATTTGAGTGTGGCCATTAGGCAGACAAGCGACGAGGAAATAGAATTCTAGGAACATATCTACATGGTTAGCTTCGATGGTAATGTCCAAAACCAAATCACCAATTTATGGGACACAATACTACCAAAATTCATAAAACCACAAAATCCCGTGGAAACATTCCCTCGTCTAATTTATTGCAGAGCGATTAAGTCACGTAAACATGAAATAATGTGGGGAAATGTAAATAAACATGATGGTGATGCAGTAAGGTTACATGGTCTGAGTGTTAAAAACACAACTTTGTGAAACGTTGACAGGATATGCGCAAATAAACAAGAGGTGTATAACACTTAATTATAATGTGCACAGGATACAATAATTAAAACGTCTTTGCAATAAATGTAATGATGTATGAAACAACTAAGTGCAAAACCAAAGAGCAAATAGAAAAATAATTTAGGAAAGGAAGACATTTTGAAATGCAAAATTGTACTACCGGGATATAAGATTTCTGGCCAATTCTGATTAGCTCGCTTTAGCTAATCGAAACGAGGTTATTCTTCAGTATATTTAAACATAAGTCAATAGGATTACTTTTCCTGTCTGAAATTTGTACGATATTTAAAAAAAACGCCTCAGTATTTTCTTGTGCAAAACGGTCTCAACAGACGCTGTACTTGTGGCCATTCCGCTTTCCTTCGTAAAGCGAGAAAGTTCTTACTATTCGAACAGCGGAATCTCTATATTTCTGCAGGCAAATTGTAAGAAGATAAGATGTCAGTGGTTTGGTACTTATTGGGGACGCTAGATCCCCAGAAATTAATTGGTACACATCCCGTTTTTGCAACTTCACTATGGAAATCTGAATCGCCCACTTTTGCCTGCAGTTTGAATTGATTTGTTCGTCGCCACTTTTAGTACGTTATTTTGCGACATTATTGTGCTGTATGTATACGCAAAAGTTGTGTGCCTATTCGTTCGTCTTTCCTGGCTCATTGTAGAGTATACACTTTTCCCGACTGAATCTGGTTTCCTTCTTCTAGTAAGCAGGGCTGAGGTGCAGTGGAATAGCTTCACTTGTTGTGTCGCTAACTTTCGTTCTGTTGGCCGGTCCTAGGTAATATCATAATCCCTTCAAACGTAGCATCAACAAATAATGGAGTCATGACAGTAGGATTAATAAACGTTAAGTGCTTGGAATGTCGTCGTCTATTTGTTCGTGTGTCTGCAATGTTCTACAGGGAAGTAGGCTATTTAACGCATTATCCATAACTTCGTAGAGCCTAGGGTGGATTTACAATCCAATAGTAGTTCAATCCTGTGTTTCAACCACGAAACCATCATTTAATACTATACAGATAGAGCAATATCGCAGATTTACTGATAATTTTATTTAACAAAAGCGACAAACGCGTTAGCTAAATGTATTTGTATCCCAGAGTAAATATGTGACTCACTGAGATTCAAAGGCAGTATTCACTTATTCACACACCAGAGCATTATCTATTCCGAATATCAAGGTCACGATAGCCATTATCTTCATAAACGAATACGACATTAGTAATAAAAGCACATATCTTCTAGTTTTTTGATTTTTAGAACTAGATTTCTTCACATTTACGTGGTATCATAGTGTTAGCGGGACATAGATTGGATTAAAGCATGCTCGTATCTGCTGGGATCACCGGGTAAGAAATAGTCGGGTTAGACGCAAGGTAGTAGGTGATGGTAGTAAATCAGTTGATGAGATTGTAAATCTTCATCGGCTGAGATGGTTGGGCAACGTGTTACGTACGCCCGAAGCCCGATTACCACGACGCGCAATGCTGACTAGTGTTGGAGACGGATGAAAGAAAGTTAGGCGCGGTCAGACCTAAACGTGGCATCAGTGCTTGAAGTCACTAACTTCTGGTCTGAGCCATGTTGGTAGATACAGACTACTCGGTTGGGGTCCGCGTGACTATCGTAACCAATAGTTGGAGACTCTGGGTGACATTGCTCAGAATCGATCATAATGGCGTAGGTGTGTACACTCTTTGTCTTCCCTTAAACTGTGAGATTAAGATTGCTTTATATCTTTCTTTCTATCAACTAATTATTTCTTCCTGTATCATATCTTTATACACAATCTTTCTTCTATATATTACTACGATTGAAGCAACTACTATGAATTTGGTGTTCATCTTGTTGTGCTAATGAGGTGTGGCAACTTGGACCGATGCATATATGTGCTTGGTCCTACGTTGTAGCTGACTGAAAGCATGCTCAATGCACGATTTTACGTTGGTTGGCTGGTTGGCTAATTCTCATCAAATCAGCACTAGTCGATACTTGAAGAAGACTCTAGGATCTTCTCATATAAAAAACTAAATATACTAACGTTTTTCTTATTGTGCTTCTTACTTCCATCTGACCTTGTTATTTGGAATATAATCTTTCCTGTTCAAACGTGTACTGAATTGGGGACTTGTCGAGTGAAATGGTGTCCAAGAATACTAAATAATAGGAATAGCTGGGTTGTAATAAGAGAGAATTATAACACATGGACTCAAAATAAGTTTCTAAACGATAATTTTGAGAAAAAGATATACATCCATAAAACCACCTCCTCATTAAATAAATTCAGAAAACGCAAGTTCATTTAAAAAACAAATGTATTTGGCTTTTTTTTCTGTCTAATCAAATTTTATTTTACCATTTTCTGTTATCTGTTGTGAATGCAATGCAACTGGTTCGGGCCACTCTAAAATACTCAGATTATCAATCGATTTTGTGGCGGTCTTTAATAATTGTTCTATAGGGAAACATAAAAAGATTTTAAGTTAAATTAATGTAAAATTTGTCAATACTGATGTATATTGAACAATGGTAGTTTATTTTATAACATGACAATGGATATATTTCACTAGGCAATGAGCAATCTATTAGCTTAGCACCCTTTAAATATCAGTTAATTAAAGGTAAAACAGCAATCTTAGTTAAAATCACGCGAGGTCGACTGAAGCCAGAAGATTCTTTTGGCTTCTCAGAAATCTGTATATAAGGTATGTTTATATATAACTGAATGAATAGTTCAACAGTGAACAATAATTAGCTTACATTATAAACGTACATTCAAAGTAGTAGGCTCAGCAACAACAAGCGATACTTGGTAGAAACGAGGGCAGAAATAACCGGACAGACATAAAGTATATCAACGAACAACAAAGTAGTTATTTTAAAATTAGCCAATGAAATTTGAGAGGGACGTTGTTCAAGAAAAAAAACTAGTAACACAAAATCTAAGAACCTCATGCTCTTAATACACCCAAGCGCAAACTGTATGAAGGCATTTACATTTGTTAACAAATCATGAACGGAACTGAGAGGTACATGACAAATAAATGCTAAAAATCAGCAGGACCTGAGAAGCTACTACTACTACTACTACCAAGTTGTTAGTTTTTAAATAAGATACACATTAGGTATTTACTAACATTTTATTCTTCTTGGTGGGTATTTCATTATTACACTCAGTAAACAGCTATTTTTTATATAATTGTTAATGTTGACAGCCATTAAATTTCGTATGGGTAAGAAACATTTGCGATCATGTATCAAAGTTCTGAGAGAGTTAGATCATTCTTATTCTTTAATTGAATTAGGGACCACCGTTTTGCACAATTGAATACAACCAGGTGACCAAATACATTGAAACAATACACAAGTCAAAAATCATGTTTTTAGACTAGTCTTCTCTGTAGATATTCCCGGGTTATAAGTAATTCTGATAATGTGAAGAATTCTCCTTATCCTGAAAATTATCTAATACTTGAATACTTATACTGCTCTGACTTTTGATATCGAATTACGAAAAGAAATTTCGGCAGTTAAAAACGGACTAAATAGACTCATACTATTTATTTAAAAATGGTTTATTTTGAAGAATGATATTTGCTAATAAACATTATTGACTAAATCACCATTGGACAACTGAGTAGTGTTATTAGTCCTTATCTGGCACAAACATTGTATTCTTATGCAAGCACATAAGCTTCTATAAGGTAAATGAGTTACTTCAAGTACATGATATAGTTTATGTTGTCATGTTCTTCATCTCAAGGTAGAAGAGATTAGTGAGTAGAGATCGCTTTATTATTATGAGTCATTTTTCCCAATCTACATGTATAACCTGATTCCTACTTGTAGGTATCATTAACAAGATTTGACTTGATAATACCGAATAAATTGAACATTGAGTAGATTGTGATAAATAAATTAATACATTTGTAGATATCTCAATGAGTAGAAAAATTAAATTTTCTGACGTTTCATGAATCAATGTAAGTCATTTCTTCAGAAAATAAATAAAAAATCCTTACTTGGTTTCCCCCTTTTACTAATTCGGCGTTTCACAATTATTCCTCTAGTTATTTTCTAATGTCTCTGAACTAGATATCAGGCAGCTTAGTCAGTTAACTATGAAGTGAATTAATGAATTTCAGAGTGGTCAGAGCACAAGAATTTAAGCACAATACTGAGTAATACCTAACGGCATTGTTATCCCTACATCAATAGCTTAAAACACATTGTTCTTAAAATGAACCGATATCGTGATGTCAATCAAGAAAAATCCTGCAATAATTGGGACTGAAAATAAGAAACATCACTAAAAGAACAACGATATATAGGTAAAACAAACCTCTTGATGTATCATCCAAATCAGTATGCGTGAATAGTGATGGGTAATCTCCGTAATTAAGAATTCGTAATAGTACTTGAGCTGTACAACATATTTCATCCTTGTATTAGGAACAAAGAGAGATGAAATAGAAATATCAACAATACACATAATACGTTATGCTTTTAAGAGGCAATTATAAATATTTAATAACGTTTTATACAAACAAATACATTTTGAATGCTATTAGCCTTACATATGTATGTAAGGGTTTGAGTTTACCCGTTTTTTGATATTTAAAACTGTAATTGATCAGTTCTGATGGGTACATGTTTATTCTGAGTGGAGTTTCCCGATAATTTGGATTGTGGCTATCAGTGGAATTCAGAAGGCCCGTCTTATCTTATTTGGGGCAAATCAATTGCATGTTTCGGTATACCAGTATTGACTTCCTAGCCTAATGGATAACGGGCTGGAGGTGTGAAGCAAAAGATATTCAATTCGAGTCTCAATGTAAACATCAACACTGAGATCCATATACATCTATTTGATAAGTGGCTAATAAAATGTGTAATAGCGAGAATATAAATGAAATCGAACTAGTAATCCTGGTTTCGTGCATAAAATGGCCAGTCAGTCATTAAATCACGATGTGGTATCTTGAACGGATGTATATTATTTACTTAAGTATCCACAATTCTTAACAGCGTGGAGTGACAATTTTTTAAGAAACCATACAGATCATCTTCTGAGATCCATTTTGTGGTGCCTGAATGCGGTTGTTGTTGTTGTTGTTGTTGGTACATACTTTTAAGGTTGCTACAAAATAGAAATAAATAGTAATGCACTGCTCTCTCTCTTTCTTCAATTTCTTTAATAATTTTTTTCCAGCTTATTTCAATGATTTTAACTTTTATAAGATAATAGTAGAATAAGAGAGTAAAACTCTTACATGCACACATACAAACACATATACTAACCTGTTCAACAAGAGACATTAACGAGTGAAGACGTAAATTCCCTTGTTCACAAGGATCAATTAAACCTGTACTACTAGGAAGAAGGAAACCGCTGGCCAATAGGTGGAATACACGTCTAATAAACAATATATTTAAGAATAAACAACACGTATATATTTTTCTTCAATAAATAAATAAAATGCTGATTATTGTGTGGCGGTTATACTGATAATCAAGTGTTCAGGTTTGAAACAATAGGAAGCAAGTTTAATAATAATAATAATAATAATAAAAGACAAAAAACAAATTTTTTATAATATTTTACTTCACAATAAAGATATCATGAGAAGACAAAGATTTCAACGTGAAATGGGATCGAATTTGCGCTTCAAAGAGATAAATTAAAGATAACTGTCATTTGGAGGAATCATTTTGATACTTTCTAATATAACAGATGGTTTAAAATATTTTTTCTCTCGCTCAGGGATACTAAGATAATACGTTAATACCATAATAAGACTAGTCACGTTATATCAGACCCAGGATTCACGACCCAGAATAGAGAATCAGAGTATAGACAATACAATCACGAGCAATCACACTCAGTGAGTGCGAAGTAGAAATCAATGGGAGGAAAGGAAATCACATATTTGATAGTCAGTAAGCTAAGTGCCACGCTAAACGACCAATCATATTTTACTTTTAATATTATTTATCACTTCCACATAATAGGATATTATTGGCAGTCTACCTTGGGTACTAATACAGTCAGAGACAATTAGACTTCAACTTAAGTTTGGACCATTAAGTTGTAGGTTCGGATCCCAGTCTACCTACTTTGATTTGGACAATCAAGTATTATAACTAGACCTCATATTTACAGTGTGGCTCCAAGATAATTCTACGAATCTGTAACTAGTAAATTATTCAAAATAACTTGCATAAATATAAGTATTATTTAGCATGTAATATCATAGATAGAAAGATCATCAAAATTACCTGAACGCATGATTAAGTGGCAAGGGTTGACGTGATGGATTATTCATTACAACATAATGAGCCTTGAAAACAAATGAAAACATGTGTTATGCAAAAGATTATTCAACTTACTAACAAGTCTATCAACCAGGAATTCATATAACTAAAACCCCGAAAACGTCGCCGAAAATCTTTCAAGATACGGATTAAAACCTTCACGCTAAGAAAAAAAACAATTTAGTAATGTACGGTCAGAAGTTAAATAATAATTAGGTACGTAGTATGTGTTGCATTTTCTTCTGCCCATCTTAAATGACGAATTGAAGCCAAAGCAATCTTTTGTGCAGCTAAACTAACTGAAAGAAGAAGAAATGTTGAATAACATAATAAGAAACGACAGAAGTATTAATTTAATGTGTATAGTTTGGTGCATTGATGAACTAAAAACTGGAAGTGTTTTGATTTAAAAGAACTTGGTAATCAACACATATATTTAATCTGTTTAATAACTAAACTAAAGATCCTTAAATTTTGTAGAAATTGATTTACTATTGAGGAACTACGTTATAACTAAATATCCAACATCGATTCGTCTAAGTGAATTAGTAACACGAAACAATCAAAAGTTGTTATATCCCGATAAGAATAATGAATGGTAATTTTTTGGAATCCATTTATGGACCAATACTATGAGTATATTTTCATCGTGTAATTGTTATGTAACTAAACTGTTCATATTCATATAGCTCTTATTATGAGCTTTATTTTGACCTATGAACTATTATTATACGATTTACCATTCTTGAATTATTCCGTCTGTTAATCAGATCTCCCTCATTCACAGCCACTTGGCCAAATATTGTACAAATGCTATTTTCTATTTTGTGGTACGTTGTGGTCTGTTTGATTGGTATATAAACCCAGTATGTTTGAAATATAAGGATTAATATTGCAGAGGCTGAGACTGGTGTTCTGGACTTAACTGGCTGGGCTAGGCAGAAAGCAGGACCCTAAGCTGCTCCCACGTGTTTTATGCGTCACTGGTTCGATCGGTAATTTCGCTGCTCTCTGATTGGCGGTATCGTTGCGTTATCCAATATGCAGGGCACACAGATTCACAAATTATAACAAAAGTAAATAAAAATAATCTATTTCTAATATCCCAATGAGTAGAAAATCTGATTTTTCCACTCCAGACCACACGATTGAAGCGTAGATCTGACAAACCAAGACGCAAAATTATCTTCAAAAACTGATATTACGAAATTATGTGAAATATGTAACAAACTTCAAATGTCAAGGTGTCTCTGGTAAATACTGTCGATGTGTAATCACAGGAGGATGCCTCCTAAGGGGAATATATAAAAGTTATTTACTATAAACTACGATAAGCTATGTGATAGCTAGAAGCTGTGACAAAACACGAAGGGAAGACAATAATCGAAAATGGAAACGAAGAACACTAAATTGGATGCTGGTGAAATAAAACAAAAGTTTATTGGGTACATTAGAATCGAAACCAACTGTTACAAATGGTATCAAATACAGTTATAATAATCAACAAATCGAAAGTTACACGTATGTATAAGTGCTTGGCAACGTCATATACAATTGATATGCGTGACACACTATATGCTCAAAGTCATTGGCATTGCATTGTTTACTGAATATTGGGTAAGTAGTATAAGAAAACCGGATATAAAGAGAATAAGCGTAAAGAATACGACAAAGATTTAACAGTTATTATCAATGTGGGGGATAAAAACATTCGGATTTTTATTAACAGGTTGCATGCTTAAATCATGCTTCACTGAATTCGGCATGCAAATAATATTTTTGGTCCTTACACAGTCAGTCAGTCAGTAACAACGTAGAACTTCGTACGTACGTACATCAGTTCGAGTTGCCATACCACATTAGCACAGAGATGCAGTTGTCGATTCAAATCCCGTAGTGGTAGAGGTAGCAACAGTATAAGCAGTAATCGCGAAGATTAGGGTTTGGAGATGTTATTTAAGGAGTATAATCCAGTGAAATAAATTTGGAAAGAGGAAAAAAGGGACATGGAGAATTCAGAAGATTAGGATTTGGGAGAACACAAAGAGTGGATGCACCTGCGCCATTGCAAACGATTTTGTGCCATGTCATTCAGGGTCTTTAACCATCGGTTGCAATCATCTCGCGGTCCCCAACCAGGTAGTCTACACCTACCAACATGACTCAGTCCACTTGTCAGTGACTTCATGGACTTGTGCCATGTTTTGGTTTGGCCGCCTCTAGCTTTCTTCCAACCTACTCCTATACCACTGAACATCGCACGTCGAGGCAGTCGGTCGTTGGGCATACGTAACACGTGTCCCAGCCATCTCAACTGATGAAGTTTCACTACTTCATCAATTGATTTGCCATCCTTACCTAGTACTCGTTTCCTAACAACTGTGTTACTTACTCGATGGTCCCAGGATATACGAGCAATGCTTCGAAGACACCTATGATCGAATACTAGTAACCTACGAATATCCTCTACTCTTACCGGCCATGCTTCACTGCCATAAAGTAGGACGGGACGAATTGCTGCGCAGTAAACCCGTCCTTTGGTTGATAGACGGATATCTCGCCTACGCCATAAATGGCGCAAGTTGGCAAAAGCTAGTCGAGCCTTCTGTATCCGTGCTGAGATTTCGACACACACCAGACCACAATGGCTGATGAGACTTCCAAGATAAGTGAAGCGGTCGACACGCTCAACGACTTCACTCCCTATCACTAGTTCGGGTGTCGATGTAACCCAATCCTGAAGCAACATTTTGCATTTCGAGGGAGAGAATCGCATCCCGAACGTGCTTGCACTGTTGCTTAGAGTGGTCAGAAGACTCTGCATTTTGTCAGCGTCTTCGCCAAATAAAACTATGTCAACAGCATATTCTAAGTCAACAACCTCCCGGTAGAAGTTCAACCCCTGGAAATTTAGATGAGGAGAGTGTTATCTCTAAAAGTACGTCAATGACAAAGTTGAACAAGAATGGGGAGAGTGGACAGCCCTGACGAACACCACTTGAGGCAATCAATTCTGATGACAGTTCGCCATAAGCTCTCACTCTACCAGTTGTGTTCGAGTAGAGAGCCTTTATAAGGTTATTGTACTTCTTTGGTACTCCTTTCAGTGACAAACACTGCCATAGAACCTCACGATCTACAGAGTCGAATGCCGCCTTAAGGTCGAGAAATACTACCATTGTGGGGCGTCTGAATGTGTGTCTCTGTCCTAGAACCTGACGTAGTGTGAATATCTGGTCTATACAACCACGTCCAGGTCGAAAACCGGCCTGGTTATCTCTAATCTGCTCTTCACGAGCTTTGATTAGGCGTCGAAGTATTATTGAAGCTAATATTTTAGACACCATATTAGTCAAACTGATTCCTCTGTGATTGTCACAAGGGGACTTTTGTCCTTTCTTATAGACTGGCACAATCAGTGATTGAGACCAGTCAGATGGGATTACGTCCAGTTCCCAAATTCTACCTAAGACCTCGGTTAATCTCATTGCTAATACTGGACCACCATCCTTAAAAATCTCAGGAGTAAACCTGTCAGGGCCTGCTGGTCTCCCTCGTTTACACAGTTGTCCTTACAAAGTTAAGTAAACAAACCTTTACTCGATAAGCGAGTGACAATATAAAGCCGATGTACTACGACTGAGAACGAATATGCATCGGTCCAAGTTGTCACATATTACATCAGATTGTCTGATAAAATTCTATCAGAAATAACGACTAAACACTATGATATCGGCCACAACCATGTAGTATCAGATAAATGTGGTCAGAATGCTACAGAATGTTAATTGAGGCTTAAATTGCTCACCGGTTAATTCTCATGAAGTTTTCATTTACACGACTGCATACAGGAGACACAGAGACTTTTAACAGTTGTCATCAAGTATTAAAGAAAGGACGAATAATCGACACTTACTATGTATATCAGGACTTGTTCGATTTAAATTCATTGGAGTAGTAGTGATTAATACTTGTACAATATAGTCTCCTGAGGCAACAGAAAATCCATAGCTTTCTAATTCAACTTTACAATTAACATGTTCAGATGGTGAATTATTGCTTGTCAACTGGCGACGAACAAAACTTGCTAAATTTTGTACAGCTTCAAGAGTTGGGAGTGTTCGAAAAACACAGGCCAAGTCAGATATACATGAACCATTCAACCACGTGTTCAATTTGAAAGATCCAACTGAACGAACATGATCCAATTGCTGAATTAGATAAGTTGAAGTTTTAAAAAAAAATTTACATAGAGAAAGTTATAAGGCATTTACTGTTCATATAATCACATGGAAGTGACTAATGAGTACTAGACAAATACAATCGAGACGATAAATGGTAGTAAAGAAATGGAGGTATTACCATCAGTAAACACCTGATTCTCTTTCAGAATATTTTGGATGAAAACAGATATATTAAATTCGATTGTTTGTTATCGAGTTCACCGTGAAGAATATGGTTGAGGAGCTTGGTAATAACACTATCTGACAAAAAGTTCATGAACCTATGCTTGGTTGGATAACTACATTAAACTGTACAAAATAAACATGAAGTAGGAGATTCTATGAGAACAAACAACGGGAGTTATTTTTGGGGACATTATTTCGCTTGATTCAAAGTTTGCAAAATATTAATATTTAGTTTTGTCCCCAGGTCATTTTATAAATGTATTGCTTAAATATATCACAGTTTTGATGGGCTTTAATGAACGTCCTCTGTCAGTCAGTTACAACGTAGGACCAAGCACATATATGCATCGGTCCAAGTTGCCACACCTCATTAGCACAACAAGATGAACACCAAATTCATAGTAGTTGCTTCAATCGTAGTAATATATAGAAGAAAGATTGTGTATAAAGATATGATACAGGAAGAAATAATTAGTTGATAGAAAGAAAGATATAAAGCAATCTTAATCTCACAGTTTAAGGGAAGACAAAGAGTGTACACACCTACGCCATTATGATCGATTCTGAGCAATGTCACCCAGAGTCTCCAACTATTGGTTACGATAGTCACGCGGACCCCAACCGAGTAGTCTGCATCTACCAACATGGCTCAGACCAGAAGTTAGTGACTTCAAGCACTGATGCCACGTTTAGGTCTGACCGCGCCTAACTTTCTTTCATCCGTCTCCAACACTAGTCAGCATTGCGCGTCGTGGTAATCGGGCTTCGGGCGTACGTAACACGTTGCCCAACCATCTCAGCCGATGAAGATTTACAATCTCATCAACTGATTTACTACCATCACCTACTACCTTGCGTCTAACCCGACTATTTCTTACCCGGTGATCCCAGCAGATACGAGCAATATTTCCAAGACATCTGCGATCAAATATTAGTAACTTACGAGTATACCCTATTCTTAATGGTCACGTTTCGTGACCGTAAAATAAAACAGAACGGACTGCCGCGCAGTATACTCGTCCTTTAATTAATAGACATATCTCGCCTTCGCCATAGGTGACGTAAGTTGACAAAAGTCAAACGTGCAGAGATTTCGTCGGACACCAACGTATTAGGGCTGATCTGACTTCCAAGGTAGGTGCAGTTGTCGACCCGTTCGACTACTTTACTCCCTATCCTTAATTTAAGTGTTGACGCAGGACAGTGCTGAAGCAACAATTTGCATTTAGAGGGAGAGAAACGCATCCCAAACATCCTGACATTGTTGCTCAGTGCTACCAAAAGACTCTGCATTTTATCATCTTCGCCAAACAGGACCATATCACCGGCGTATTCAATAAGTGGACCTCCTGGTAGATCAATCCCCGGAAACTCAGTCGAAGTTTAGTGGTCAAATAGGAGTACAGAACTGACAAACATCCACATCCTCTACTAAGGAACACTTGGTTGCGACAGGTTGTAGGGTTCAAATCCGCTTTTTAGTGTTATATAAGTGTTTATGGGGGGTTAACAGGGCTTACTGGAGCTTTGGATATATGAAAAGTCAAGCCCCTTTGACGCAGACCAGTCCTGAAGCAACAACTTGCATTTAGGGGGAGAGAAGCACATTCCAAACATTCTGGCATTGTTGCTTAGTGCTACCAAAAGACTGCATTTTATCAGTGTCTTCACCAAACAGGACTATGTTGTCTGCGTACTCCAAGTCGACAAGTGGACCTCCTGGAAGGAGATCAATACCCGAGAATTCAGTTGACGTGAATGTTATTTCCATCAGTAGGTCTGTGATGAAGTTAAACAAAAATGGAGAAAGTGGACAGCCTTGACGGACGCAAAAGCAGATGACAAGTCGCCATCAGCTCTGACTCGACTAGTGGTGTTCGAGTAAAGAGCCCTCACAAGGTTTACGTACTTCTGAGGTACACCTTTCAATGACAGGCACTGCCACAGAATCTCGCGGTCTACCGAGTCAAATGCTGCTTTTAAGTCAAGAAAGACCACCATTGTCGGACGTCGATAAGTACGCCTGTGTTCTAGAACCTGACGAATGGTGAATATGTGGTCGATGCAGCTACGACCAGGTCTGAAGCCAGCTTGAGTCTCTCGTGTTTGCAGTTCACGAGTCTTAGTTAGGCGTCTGATAATTATCGAGGCTAGTATTTTAGGTACTATATTAGTTAAACTAATCCCTCTGTGGTTGTCACAGGATGATTTTGACCCTTTCTAATATATTGGGACGATAAGTGATTGCGATCAGTCAGATGGGATAAAGTCTAATTCCCAGATCTTAGCTAAAATATTAGTCAACCTAATCGCTAAAATTGGACCACCATCCTTAAAGAGCTCTGGAGCCAATCTATCTGGACCAGCTGCTCTTCCTCGTTTCAGATTAACCATAGCCTTTTGAACTTCAGCAAGAGTTGGGGGACCTACTTCAATGTTCCATTCACACTGTCTGAGAATGGAGGGTAGTTGTAGAGTAGCTGAAGGCCAGCTGAACTGTTTCACAAAGTGTTCCACCCATCGTTCTAGACGTCTGGACTGGGAGCAGATGAGAGTATCGTCTTGCGAGAATCCATCAGTGTGATAGACTTTGAAGAAATCCACTGGTTCTTTGTAACTCTGTGGTTTAAGTCACTAATAGGTTTCATTGCTGTTTCCACAGCTGTTTGTATATCTTTCCAAGCAACATCTGGGTCAGCCTCGTTTTCAAAACTACCTAATCGTGACCTTAGTTGTTCCTGGAACCTACTTTTGGTTTCCTCGTTACTCAGTTCGGTTCTAATGGGTCATTTTACTGTGGCTTTTTTTGCGTCCAGTGAGGCGCAAGCAGATGCGTGCCCGTATTAGGGAGTGGTCGGAGTCCAAGCAGGTACTCCAGAATGAGCGACAATCTTCCACCGACCCTCTCCAACGATGACTGATGTCAATATAGTCTATTTGAGTCCATCGTTGGTTTGGTGTAGGGGGTCACCATGTTAGACGATGTCTCTCCTTATGCTTAAAATTTGTGTTTGCTAAAAATAAGCGATTGTCTGAGCATAGTTGCAGCAGACGGTCACCATTATCTGTTAGCTGTGCCGGAATGCTAAAATATCCACCTAAATGCCTTTCTGTTTGGTTTAAACTGCCTATCTGAGCATTAAAATCACCTGCTACGAGTACTATGTCTGAGCGTTTAGCTTTCTGAAGAAGTTCGGACAGCTTTCTGTAAAATTCATCTTTCACATCATCTGAGCTGCAGTCAGTGGGAGCGTAGGCAGAAACGACGAAAAGGCAACGACGTGTATCCCTATCCTTCCGAGTTCTTAGAGAGCCGTTTAACCGAACAGCACATAGACGACTGTTGACGGGGATCCACTCTAGCAGTGCTTGTTCCGCCCTCATGCTTAGAGCTATGCCTACACCTGCCAGTCCACGAGAGCTGGCCATCGGGTCACCAGATACACGGAGGGTGTATCTCGTTGGCTCTCCGTTTTGCCGAGGTGAGGTCAAGTGAATGACCACACTGGGATCCTGTATGCGTGTTTCGGAGACACAGCATACATCAATGGAGAGACTCTAGGGTTTTAGCCAAGGAAGCCTGCTAACCGATTTGACATAGGGTGCGTACTTTGAAGGCTCCAATGTGTAGTTTGGAGCGAGGTTTCAGTAGACCTGGGACAGAGTTTTGAGCACTAGAATCGTTGTCTATGGTGGCACTTGAGGAGGAAGCCGAAGGAGGAAGTTTAGAGTTGAAAGTCGATGTAGGAGGAATAATAGGAATTGAAGAGGAAGGTTGAATATGAATACAGTGGTCTCGAGTGCTGTTAAAGGTATGAGAGCGGTTATCACTTCCCGGCTGCCCACACCAAGGAAGGGTTCTTCTGGAGGTACCTGAAAAGGAAATTGTATTAGAGGTGGTCTCAGTGACCTGAGAGCGTGACCGCAGTGCCCAAGGGACAACTGCTTGAGGTCGGTCGCGCACGGCCTTTTCGTGGGAGGTTTTTGACGTGTTAGCTCCGTTCTTCAAAGGGCCTTACCGCCGGAGACGGAAATCCGTGAGGTAAGGTGAGGTGTGCATTTTTAGGGTCGACCTTTTCTAACCCCACACCTCCTTGTGGGAAGGCAGCATCGCTGCAGATGCTGGTTGTCCGAGGGAAACACCCTACTGCTGTCACACCCCTCTACAGTTAGCAGTATGACTTCGCCTTCGGACCTTGGGTTTGTTGCTTTTAGTCTTACCGCTCTTCAACCGACCTGTCTGACATGGTAGGACCTTGAGGAACGGTTGTTCCAGCCAGTATAGCTCGGTTGCTTCATCACGATAGGCAAGCCCGACCACAACGTCAAGGTAGCAACAACGGTCGGGTTAAAAAGAAGAATATATTTGTAAAATCTCAGCGAATGAATTTTAAGTAAATCCAACGTTTCGCCTGGCAATCTGGTCCAAGCTTTTTCAAGGAAAATATAATCAAACAACAAAATTATCCTTTTTTTAATGTAGGGCTTCGGCTGTTAGTCGTTTTTTGTAAGAATTAAGTCCTTTTTGAATGATTCTCGTGCCATTGAAATCAACTGTATGACCCGATTCAATCGAGTGTAATGCTATCGCTGATCTGTTCTCAAGCTTTTTTACATCAATTGAGGATTTAGGAATGTGCTTTAAGCACAGTTTGTGTTCCTTCACCCTCACATTCAGTTGCCTTGATGTTTCACCTACATACGTTGCATTACAGTCAGTACATTTGATTTCATAAACACAATTCTGTTGATCATCCTTGTGTATTGGATCTTTGATTCTTGCTAGTTTTGATCTTAGATTATTGTTTGTTTGAAAGAATACTCTTATATTTCGACGAGTTAAAATCCTTCTGATGTCTTCTGAGATACCTTTACGATATGGGATCACTACTGTGTTCATCCAATCTTGCTTAACTCTTGTTTTAAAATATCATTCCGTTCTTCATCCTTAATTATTCTTTTAATAAAACCTTTCGGATAATTATTCATCAATAGAGTGGATACAATTAAATTCATTTCCATGCTTATATCATTTGGATAATTTTGTTGTTTGATTATATTTTCCTTGAAAAAGCTTGGACCAGATTGCCAGGCGAAACGTTGGATTTACTTAAAATTCATTCGCTGAGATTTTACAAATATATTCTTCTTTTTAGATGATAGAATCGTTTTTGTCTCTCTGCCCAAGGCCGTTAGCTTCGATTTGAATCTCTAGCCTCAAGGTTAAAACGGTTAGCCTATCGTGTCAGGCCTTAACCTAGATCTGTTACATATTATTGGATAAACAGATCAAAGATGTAACACTCACCTTCCGATCTGTCCAGTTGACCTTTAATTTTTGCACAAATAAATGTTACTAACAAGTATGTGTGTGATCAGACTGTTCACATAGTTCAGATAGTATTCGTCTTCCCAATGAATTATCCAAATTTATGAAAGGGATTAACTGATATAAAGATCTAATTTGTTTTAGACATACCATCCCAGTCTAAGAAAAGCTTAAAAGTAGCATGTAGTCTACAGAAGGTTTTGAGCTCTCTTATAAATCGCTGTTTGAAAACAACAAATTCGAGGTGACAAGAGAAAGTTTAAGACTGAAAAGGTATAACTTAGAGAAATATTTTCGGTAGCAAGAAGTGAGATATTTCGGGATTCACCAATTACCCAACTGTTTAAGGTACGTATTCGTAGAATATAACAGGACTTCCGAAGGCGCAAGAGAAAGATTATGGAACAACAATAATGACAACGTACCCCAGATTCGAATATAGACGGATTTACAATAATATTATCCAAAATTTCACAAATTCTATTGTTTAAATTCGACAGAGCGTGTTGAGAATCAGGAGATGGTGTTAATTTCCCATGATGATCTAATAAACATTGTAATAGTTTTTGGTCATCAGCAGGAATGATCAGATTCGGTTCTAACATAACAATATCCAAGGGGAATTGTGGAATAAAGGGACCGGTCTGTGAGCTGATAGTAAGAATAGATAAAGTGGGAGATTACTAAAATTTATCCAAACCAAGTTTGTTCAAAATCACGTACAAAAAAGTAACCATGGCTGAGTACTAAAACACATTGGTCGAACCACATCTACTGCATAGGGGTAAATGACAATAGATCACCAATTATTAAGATATACGACCAAAATATGAACATCTAACAGAGCTGTTTGGTGGCTTTAACACTTATGTTTTGTCGCGTTGTCATGCTGTAAATTGATATAATTTTCTCTTATTACGACCCGGCTATTCCTATTGCTTAGTATTATTGGGCACCGATTCACTCGACAAGTCTCCAAATCAGAACACGGTTGAACAGGGACGAAATCATAACCCAAATAACAAGGGTATATGAAAGTAAGAAGCACAATAAGAGAAATCTTAGTATATCTATAGTTTTTACATGAGATTCCAGAGTCTTCTCCAAGAATCGACTAGCACTGATTGGATAAGGAATAGCCAATCAACGTACATCAAGACAATCGTGCACGGAACGTGCTTTCATCCGATCTATGTCCCGCTAACATAAATTATACTTGTTGGAGGGTTCGAAATACAGACTATGGTGGATACTGCTAATACAAGGCCAGATCTAATCTAACCTGACAGGTCAAACTACTACACAAAGACACCTCAACGATGACAGCATGCAAATGAGCGAAGACCGGATTTTGAAAGGGCGCTCTTGTTTCAAAAAACAACTTCATGAGTAAACAGGACAGTGTACCCAGCATTTTACAAGATAAAACAAAACAATAGGAATCGCTGCTAACTGTGCCAACATCACTTTACAAAAGTCACAATGATGATAGTTATTGTTGTAACCCAAAAAATTTAATTTGCTTTGAACAGTCAGAAACTGTTTTTACACATTACTGTGATACACAGCCTAGTTCACGATCACTTTATTTCAGCAACTTTACACTTATGCAAAGCAATTATAAAAACTTTAAAAACCAAACACTTCTCGTTCACGATTTCAAAAATGATATATTTCCTTTAAATCCAATAGACCGAAAGTAAATTTACAAAACGAGTCATTGATAAGTTCCCCGGTTTATAAAACCGAATTATCACTCAGATAAATAAGTTATCAATGCTACTGCTTCGACACAGGCACACAGATTTAGATGCAATTTCACGAATCTAACGATAAGAATGTCACTATAGATATTTAGAGGTTATATATAGTAGAATAGCTAGTCTTCGAGGCATATTTTATTTCGTAAGAAATAGACCAGGAACTCCGCCCGTAACACTTCTAGGGTTACTGCTGACCCCAAGTTCGAGTAAAGGAAGAGGGTTGGGCATGGGATCAGCAAACCTATCTCATAGAAAACAACCTTGCCAAAAAATGCCAACCAGAATAAACAAATTAAACCATTTAAACTCTGTCCTCCGAATTGGACGAAGAATTATGACACATGGTAAAAGCCGATATTCTTAGGAAATCACCAGGTCGATGCCCCTTCTAACAACCAGAGCAACAATTATTATCTTACGGGTATGAGGAATGATATCACTTCCCGGCTGCCCACACCAAGGAAGGGTATTTCCTGAGGAACCTGGAAAGGAAATTGGATTAGTGTTGGTCTTAACGACCTGAGAGCGCGACCGCAGTGCCCAAGGGACAACTGCTTGAGGCCGGTCGCGCACGGCCTTTTCGTGGGAGGTTTTTGACGTGTTAGCTCCGTTCTTCAAAGGGCCTTACCGCCGGAGACGGAAATCCGTGAGGTAAGGTGAGGTGTGCATTTTTAGGGTCGACCTTTTCTAACCCCACACCTCCTTGTGGGAAGGCAGCATCGCTGCAGATGCTGGTTGTCCGAGGGAAACACCCTACCGTTGTCACACCCCTCCACAGTCAGCAGTACGACTTCGCCCTCAGACCTTGAGTTGGTGCTTTTAGTCTTACCGTTCTCCAATCGACCTGCCTGGCGTGGTAGAACCAACAGGAACATATGTTCCAGTCAATATAGCTCGGTTGGGTCATTACGATAGGCAAGCCCGACCACCGCGTCAAGGTAGCAGCTTCGGTTGGGAACAATTAATACAGGCACATGAAACATTCGGACAATATGGGAGACTGGAAGAACCAACCAAATAGCTGTAGAAATCAGGAGATACAACTTGGAAGTGAAACCCATCAGACCTTAGCTGGGCAGAATGGATAGATTTGGGAGAGATGCCGCTGTACTCGGGTCACGAAGGAAATTCCCTGCACATTCAGGGAGTTGATGTGATGCTGTCCAAATAAGTACGTAAAGCACTTATAGGATGGGAAATTCATGGACCCAGGATCATCAAAGCATCATTCACAACAAAGGAGGGGATCACAATGAATGTTATCAAATGTTATGCACCCACCAATAGTAGCAACGACGAGATAAAGATCAGCTTTACGAGAGGATGCAATCAATCATAGCGAGATGTTCAGGAAAGGATCTATTCATCCTGATGGGAGACCTAAACGCCAAAGTAGGAATGGACAACGCTGAGTATGAACATATCATAGGACGATATGAACTGGAAGAAAGGAAGGAGATTTGCAAACTTATGCGCGTTCAACAAAATGGCTATACGCGGCATATTTTACCACAAACGCAACCTAATCTAGAATCCTTAGGTTTCAATACAAATGAAGCTTTATCAAACTAATAAACCAACTGATCTATTTTCTCCAACTTCAATTATTTAGATCAGTTATGTATTTATCGTAAAATCTCCGTATTATAGGAAATAACCTACTTCATTATAGGATAGTTTAGCCTTCAGAAAATATACGGGTCAATAAGGAACTTAGAATTACTAATTATTCTGAAGTTTATGAAAATTTTGTTTTAACTAGATATCTCATATTTGCTGAAAGCAGCTATGAAAATAAATATTCAAGTAGATAGTAAAAAGTTATGATCTATGGAACAGATTTAACTCCATGGAGCTCGCCCCTAGGATTGCTGTTAGACCAAAGCCCAGATAAAAGAAGTTTGGGAAAACGGTAACAGAAATAAACGAATTAATCCATTTAAACTCTGCCTTGTGAATTGAAGGTCCTTCATTTGGAACCGTTATGACGCCTCGTATTAAAAGTCGAGGTTCTTCGGACGTCACCAGGCTGTTGCTCGTTCCGATAATTAGAACAACGATACAATAGGTAAATGGGATGTTTGCACAATGTGCGTAACCGTGAGGACCAACCAAATAGCTGTGGAAATGAGACAATACAACTTGGTTGTTCTCTGAATCAATGAAACTCAATGAACCCAAACTGAACATAAAAGGTTAGCTTCGGCAGAGGTGGTGTTGTATTTTGGACAACAAAACTGCTGTCGGTGACACCACGTTTCCCCACCAATACATACACAGTTCATATGGATTTCACCGCATAATACTACAACGGACCAGACCTATCACATTTGCATCAATAAAAAATTCAGATTCATTGAAGAGATAAGAACAAAGAGAGGAGTTGATATAGCTTTGGATCCTCTTTTGATGGTGATAAATATGAAGCTGAAGCCAAATAAGCGCTGTACAGCAGGAAAAACATCATGCCAGAAGTTCAGTACAAACTTTGCTTGAGAATCTGACAAACTCAACGAGTTCGAGACAGCTCGTATCAACGGGTTTCAAGCCATACATTATCTACTAAAAGAAGGAGAAACTGCTATGGAGATCAACTAGAAAGAGATTAACTAAGCATCAGCATAAAAATGTAATCTGTTTTTGGTGGAATTTCGTTATATGAGCTGCATGGTTTGGTCGTGAACTGTTCTTGAGAACAACAATGTGAGCTTCACGAATGAACCATCCAGCTCAAAGAACGGAACCAGTAAAATCCTTCATCATCCCTACCATCTCAGAGTAAATCTGTGTCGGCACCCTGGGTAGTATACAGCAATTAACAAAAACCGAACAAGAACAGAGAAAGTCAATACACAAGCTGAATACACAAAAGCAAAAACGCAGGTGAACAGCATCAGAGCTGACAAGCAGAAATACATGGAAGACCTAGCAACGACAGCAGAAAAAGCTGCAAGAAAAGGAAATATCAAACAACTATATGGCACAACGAAGAAACTGGCAGTGACACATCATAAACTAGAGAGATCGGTCAAGGACAAAGAAGGCAAACCAATCACTGAGACACAAGAACAGAGGAACAGGTGGGTAGAACACTTTGAGTAACCCGTTAATAAGCCAGCCTTACTGAATCAACCGGACATCGAAACAGCACCTACAGACCTTCCTGTAGATGTCACTCCACCAACGACGAAAGGAACCAGACAAATCAAGAGTGAGAAGGTAGTAAGACCTGACAGTATACCAGCTGAAACACTGAAGTCAGACATAGAGATAACATTGAAGATGCTCCACATTCTATCCAGAAAGATATGGAAGTAAGTACAAGAACCAACAGGCTGGATTCTGTAAGGATCGACCATGCACAAACAAATTGCGATACTACGGATCGTCGTTGAACAGTCAATTGAATGGGATTCGTCGCTATACATCAACTTCCTTGACTGTGAGGCGTTCAACGACGTGGATAGGAGAACCTTATGGAATATTCTTCCACACTACGATTTACCTGAGAAAATCGCTATCATCCGGAATCCATACAACTGACTACACTGCAAAGTCGTACATAGAGGACAGATAGCAGACGCATTCCAAGTGAGGGCCGGAGTCAGACAAGAGTGCTTACTCTCCCCCATTCCTCTTTCTTCTGGTGGTTGACTGGATTATCGAAACCACATCTCAAGAGAAGTATAGAATACAATGGATAGTTTGGATGCAACTAGACGATTTGGACTTGGTGTATGACCAAGCCCTTCCATCCCATACTCACGAACAAATAAAGGTCAAGGCAAACAGTTTAGCAGAGGCCTCTGCATCAGCAGACCTCAATATGCAAGGGAAAAAGCAAGATCCTCTAATACAACACGGAGAACAACCCAGTCACACTTTGTGGTGAAACTCCGGAAGAGGTGGAAACGTCCACGTACCTGGTCAGCATCATCGATGAACAAGAAGGACCTGGTGCAGATATGAAGGCAAGGACTGGCAAAGTAAGGACAGCATTACTACAGTTGAAGAACATATGGAACTCAAAACAACTGTCAGTCAACATCAAAGTCAGAATATTCAGTACGAACGTCAAGATAGTTTTACTATACGGAGCTGAGACTTGGAGAACCACAACCATCATCAAAGAGGTACAAGTATTTATAAACTGTCTACTCAAAATATTCAATGTCCGTTGACCAGATATCATCAGCGACAACCTAATGTGGGAGAGAACAGACTAGCTTTCAACTGGAGAGGAAATTAGGGAAAGACGCTGGAAGTGAATAGGAAATACATTACGGAAATCACCAAACTAAATCACCAGGCAAGTGCTTACCTGGAATCCTGGAGGGGAACGGAAAAGGGGAAGTATACATCAAAACGATGAATAGCAACTCGAGAAAACTAGAAAGGATTGTATTCAAGTGTATCATATGTCAAAAAAGAAATGTATTTTGCCGACCATCAGTGTCACCTTTTGATAGTCTACCTTAAAAATTAAGTAAACACCTGAACTAGTCACAGGTCTATTTTAGCTTGGATCATCCCGAGTCATACAGAAATACTAGTATAGGGGTTGTGGAGATTATTAAGTTTTTTTTTATTGAGATCATGAACCGATTAATGTTAGACCATCACAATTGAAAACCTGGAAGCACTGGACGGCCGTTTCGTCCTATTGTGGGACTCCTCAGCAGTGCGCATCCACGATCCCGCGAGCGGGATTCGAACCCAGGGCCTTCGGTCTCGCGCGCGAACGCTTAACCAACTGGACCACTGAGCGGGATCGTGGATGCGCACTGCTGAGGATTCCCACAATAGGACGAAACGGCCGTCCAGTGCTTCCAGGTTTTCAATTGTGATGGTCTAACATTAATCGGTTCATGATCTCAATCAAAAAAAAAAACTTAATAATCTCCACAACCCCTATACTAGTAATTAACATGTGCTCACTAGTGACTAGCTTCGTGAGGGAATTCTCGGAGTTCTAGTGAGAAGCCGTGATCAGTGGAGCTAATCCTTGTCGGGTAGAGACAGGTATCTACCTCAGTACAATGGAAGTTGGTCGCGCAATTTCGTGGATTGGTTGATGTTAGAAATTATCACTATTGGATGCCGGCTCAGTGGTCCAGTTGGTTAAGTGTTCGCGCGCGAGACCGAAGGCCCTGGGTTCGAATCCCGCTCGCGGGATCGTGGATGCGCACTGCTGAGGATTCCCACAATAGGACGAAACGGCCGTCCAGTGCTTCCAGGTTTTCAATTGTGATGGTCTAACATTAATCGGTTCATGATCTCAATCATACAGAAATACACGAAATTCCTGATTTCAATTCGAAAACTAACATGTAATCTGTGGTTAGTTTACTACCAGAAAATTATATACCCCTAAAACTTTTGGCAAATGAACGGGAACATTAAAGTGAAGTGTTAAAATAACTTTATGCATTCAGTACCACACATCCAAAAAAAATTAGGGTTACTTGACAATGGAAAAAATGTTAAACGATACCTACAAATCTTTTGTATAGAAATAAATGACACTAATTGATTGTCACAATCTTTCTTTCCCCATGGTTGTTATATGATATACTTGCTGTCCGCTAGGAAACCCAATAGTTTGAAAAAAATCTAGATTTTAATAATAAACTGTACATAATTTGGATGTTTGCGTTTTGATAGAACTACGCATATGTCAGCCTTGAAGAAATTGAAGGGGAATACATTTTTGTGATTGTCATTAAACATAATGCTAAAAATGCCATTTCAAGAGTATACAGAGAGAAATACAGCATGTTCATATCATTCACTCACATTTATACAACAGTACTCAAATATACCATGACTAACTCAAGATATATGACAGCACGAAACTACAATCTTGGCTAGATCGATATGGCTTTAGCTTTTGAAATAGTTCCAGAAATTGCGGTTGTCTCAACCACGAGTTAACGTGTAACCGCTATTCGACTATAATCAAGATTTCAGATCGTTTGTCAGATGTTTGTACACTTTTCTCTAGATGTCATTACAAATAAGAGAACTTTCGTAAAGGCACGAACTACTGAACCCATAATACAAAGAGACGAAGTTAAGAATCTGATGCTCAATTGGATGCAATGTAAGCAGTGAACATGGTTTGTATCCTAGTTTTTAGTTGTTGGTTTATAAAAGCAATCACTCAGAGAAAATGATTAAAATAGATATCCTATGCTAATCGGTCTTGAGTGGACCAGGTTATCGACAGGAGACTAGACACCTGACAAAAAACAGTGGCAACGTGCCCATGAATTTCCTTATAGAGGTGAAATGTCTCGAAATTAACACCACGACCTCTGCTTAAATTAGTCAAGTGATCTACTTTTTCACTAAACCTCAGTCTGAGGAAGTAAGGAAAATTAGGCTTCTTAATACCCATACAGAACTTCCCTTGATTTTTGTGTTGGGACTACAGCTTGTGGTTGACGTGTTAATGTAGATTTTGAAGTTATCTACCTACTATGGTCAAACAATGGTCGTAGATTAGTGTGCGAATTCGAACTGGGATTGAAGGTTAGATGTTGGGGTTAGGAATTAAAGTTATGATCCCCGTCACGAAACGGTATCAGATATAATTCCAAAATGGGCGAGACTATAAGTAATGGACGAACCAACAAGGTATAAGATAATAGGCCTCGGATATTGGCGCGAAATTCTTTCATCCAGTTTGGTCAAATAGTTTTGGCATCATAGCTTATGCCAGTTCGTGATGAAAACCCGAAATATGATTCCTGACGTTAATCATCAACTTTGAAACATAGTTCTAAATCCTCACACAAGTTTAGAACCCTCATTTGGTCATGGATATTAGGCAGACACTCTCAAGGTCAGTCTAGCTTAGCTTAAATGTCGTCCATAATTTATAGCCTCACCTCGAAATGTTACTAAGCATTATGCACAAACAGACTTTGATCCAAATTCCAAGACTTGCCATCTTTGTTTCCAACACTTAATCCGTTCATTACAGTCCCACTATTTCTAATTCTCTTTTATTATTTGCGTGGGAAGTAGCTCATGTGGTAAGAATACGAACTTGACATCAGCCTGTGAGGCATTCACAATTTTGATTTTACACGCTATGAGTTTACGGATTCATTTAGACTAGACCAATATAGAGTCGCACAAGATAAATAAAAAACAACAAAAACAAAATATGAGGGACATGTAGTTAGGATGGTTGTAACGGATCCTTAATTTGATGAGCCTGATGATATGACTGATATCTAGTCGCTTGAGTATTAAAACGCTACCTACGGGTTACTGCGACGATAGGACGGCCTTTGCTGTGCACGAACCGCCATTCTGACGGAATTTCTAATCACGCGGTCGTTTCCCGATCATTGCTTTTAACATGAAGTACCTTCGTGAAGGACTCACGTAAACGGTTCGTTCCTTTAGGCTCAGTTTCTTATGTTATTCCAGTGTTCCGACCTCTTGGCACTTCTCAGTGTAGATAGTCTAGTCATACGTTTTTACTAATTATAATGAATTTTTCTGACCAATCGAGAAAATGGCGTGAAGAATAAAAAATGGTTGATGTGACGAAGTATAATGTGAACACAAATGTATTTATGACAACAACGATAATAATAGAAATAGAAATAGGAATAGGAATAGCAGTGGTTGTGAGGTTAAGTTTCGAGAAGCGCGTCTGGCACATTTGTGGAGTGTGCTACTTATATCTACATAAGCAGTATAAAACTCTAGTCAGAAATAGAATGTTTAGCAGCAGAAGGTTGAGATGATCGAGGAGGAAAGAACAGTGACAGAAAGCAATTGGTATGGAAATGCAGGAACAGTGAAGTCTGAGACGATTAATTGACATTTAGCAAATGAAGAGTTTACAGTATGGTTCTCAAATTTTATTAAGATGTTCTGAAATTTTGTATTCATATACATTTGGTTGTCCCAACTGGTGTTTTCGTCCACTACACGGTTATTTCAGGCAGGACATGCCAAATTATAATTGTAAAGGCTGATTTCGACCTCCCTCCACTGAGAAGGCTACGGTCACGTCGTATTGAATACCGTTCAGGTATGGCCAAGCCATAGTGAAAAATAAGGTCATATAACCTGGGCGTTAGTTCTACGTACAATTCCTGGTGGGTTGGCTCATGAAGTGCAGTGTAGAGATCTGGTTGGGATGGTTTTATTCTGGTAGTCCGAAGTGCTTTATAGGTTGCATAACATTACCAGGTAGTCTTTCTTTCCCACGTAATTTAGCGATAATAATCCTGAGTGGCATTATCGGTCTTTGGAAAACCTATTACTTATTTTTATCACATACTTCACGTCACACTTCTTCATTTTTCCCAAAAGATTTCTGTCGATTTCGTAGGGTGCAGTTGAGTATTGTCGGAAAGAGCCTAGGAGTATGCCTAGCTAACTGCGGATAAAATGAAGAGCAGTACAAGCTTTGACTGAATTTACCTAATAGTCATCATTTGAGTCAAGGTCTTCTATCAGCAATAGATATTCATCGATTTTTTGGAGTGGTAGTGATCACAAACGTGCTAGTCACTCTGAGCATTCTCTGTTGCTCATAAAACACTGTTAGAGATTTAAGCAGATCAGGTGTTAAACTATACATCTACAAGGACAAACCTCATAGTTCAATATCTTGCAGCCATAAAAAGTGAGATTTACTTATAGGTCATTGATGAATATTAGGAACAATAGGGTGCTCAGTGTGGCGCTTTATGCACCCTAAGACAATGACACTTCACAGTCCGGTCTCATTTTGTTCAGGACGTTGGGATTTTAAGAGTAATTTAGTATCTCACCTTGAGTTCCCGAAATGATGAAGACTCTGATTTGTATTTTTGGGGACATGAAACGGCACAGATGCCTTAACATATATCGTAGTTTCACAGACAGATTTATTTGATCAAATCTCCTATCTTTCTTTCGTCCAGTAAGATCCTCCATCTGTCACAAATATTCATTTTTAAATTAGGTAGTGCGACAAAGCACCGTTTTATCCAGAACTTTCATTTACCACAACTGAGCAGCACCTGTAAAACATTTTTTGAGGAGGCGTTGGGGTGTTACACTGTTCATTATCTGAAATTTTCGCTCATTCTTTGGGCCAGAAGTCGTGTTCATGGATCTTCCTGGTGGCTGAGAGCTTATCTGTTTGTTGTAAAGGCGTGAATTTATCAATATCACAGTAGTATTATGTTCACAATCATGTCGAATTCGGTCGCAATATGATACCTGTTGCTTATGGTGACATGAATGAAGAAGTTATACTTCGATTGATAGCGTACCTTTGATGGTGATTAAGCTGCTTATTGAGATAGCCAGCGAGTTTGTAGAATTATGGTCTAAGTAGGTATCATTACCAAGGTTTGATTTGATACTTTCGAATAACCTGAGCATTGGGATGATTGTTTTTATTTAATTATGGTCTAAGTCCCTTGTTAGTAATATTATAACAATAGACCTAATCTCAAAATTGTAGATATGTCATGATGTGATTACCAAATCTATAGGATCTTGAGTGGAAGTCATATCATTTTCTACACTGACTTATCGTCTCGTGACAATTAGCAATATGATAATTAGTACTTCTGAAGAACACATTTAGGCCAAAGATAGAATAAAAATAGAATAAAGACAGGTTATACAGAACGACTATGTCTGAGAGGTTGAGCAATGCCATCCGACTTAAGTGAATTATTCTCGAGCTTCACCATTGTCGGCCTTCTCTCCATGTTAAATGCCGAATATCTATTTTCCCAGTTATCTCATGTTCAGCCTTGAAAATTTTTTGGTTGGAACCGATATCACTAGAAGTTTTATTTTCCCTGCATGATGATTAGAGACGCAGTATCACAGGTTCTGGTTGTGTCTGGAAGAACCCCAGTAGTGATGGAAGTGTTATCACTTGGAATTGGGATTTTTTTATGATGTCATCACACGTGTGAGGATGGTATGTTCTAACACTCAAGGGCTTGATACCACAACTTTTGAAGCAGCACCATTAATGCTCTGATAATTCGACCAGATTGGTATTAGCTAATATTACGGCTTTGAAATGGATGCTGATGTGCGTGCATAATTCGAATCCTTCCACTTCCTAAAAGTGTGTCAACTTGCACGTACGATGCCAGGAGAGTGTCAGATTTTAGTTACAACTGCGATCTCCAGTTTAAAATAAAAAATGTGGTTCACGGCAGATCAGGCAGTGTTTTAAGAACTTGCCAATGCGAAGATTTTTCTCTCATGGAAAGTTCAGTTACTGTGGATGTGCTTCCATTGACCTGTGTCATGGATTGTTGATCAAAGTCACTGAACACCGAGTGTCATTTCTTTCGACCGTCCTACTTTTGACTCACCGATCTAGGCTAGCTTTAAAAGCATCAGACCTAGCACCGTAGACCATTTCTCGTGTTGTGCAAGGCTTGAAAGACTCTTGTTACATTGTCGTGGTATTGGTTTCTACCCACACGATCTTCGGAGCTGAACATATGACTACTGAGTAGGTACCATTCAAAATGTTATAGTAACTATCCCATGACCAATTTTGATTATGGTTAATTTTGGTTAGGCTTTTTTTACCTACTTATCAGACAATTTTATTCGAACAGTAAGAGTATTTTGGTACCGTTATAATAACTAGATTGCATCAAAGACTACAACAACAATGTGGATCGCTTAAATATTGTAGAGGTAAATTTCCCCGATATCTAACTCTATCCCGTTAACTGAGTATTTAACGCTGGCTAAATCTCCTAGTAGAGTTATAGATTTACTCGAGATTATCCAGAAGCCTGACACACTAGTTGTAGAGATATTTTATTGTTTAAGATTATTAAAATCCGCAAGCGTACAGCAAGCAAGCACGCAGTGAAACCAAGAGTGTTTATATGAGTGTTAAAAATCCATATATATTTATGAGACATAATCAAGTTTTGATAAATTACTGATTATCTGTGTATTACGACCAATGGGAGAATAGATTAAAGTTAATGTGCAGACATGTACTCAATCAGACTCACACAGAAATTTACATAGTGGATTAAGTGTGTAAATTACAGTGAGCGGATAAATAATACAGTAGTTGAATCGGCTTGCTACACTATCACTCGATGATTCATTCCCTTTCACATGTATATATGTACTCAAATCCTATTTTTAGCCTTTTCCTTGCCAAGCTCTGCTTTATTCGATTTGACTATAAACTCGCTTCTGTATTTGCTCTCATACACATATTCGCCTCTGTGCTTCTAATTCGATCTATATGTTTATAGCTCTATGATCTGTACTATCCACTAATAAACTGTAGTTCCGCTCCTTGTTGCCTTCTGATTTCAAACACTGTTGGAATTTATATATTAACGGTTACATAGTTGATTGATTGACGAAGCAAAGCCACTACATAAATGGTGAAACCAACGTAAGAAAGACGAAATAAATTACGACGATATAATCCAATATCGAAAATTCAATGCACTTTGTCTCTACTCGGATTATTAGCTGGATTATGATCATAGCTGTGGACTTATTATATCATCATTTTGATTACACGTACATGATCTTGTAGCGGTAAATAAATCCCCAAAATAAATAGCTCTGTAAGTCTTCGACATTGGATGCTGACCACATTAGTTTTAGTGGACTCACCTAGCTGAAGGCGCTCGGTCATGCATCCGCACCAGATCACGAGTGGGAACGCCGTGCTCAACATCTACTGCAATCGCTAGCCAGAACAGATCAGACAATTCCGATATAGTGGCAATCGTCAAATAAAACTTCTGATCTACTCGATTCTGTCTTTTGATTTCTCTTGGTGGGTACGAGTTATATTAGAAGGCGTTACTGGTAAAAGCGTTGTGAAACACTGAATACCTGTGCCATCTTTATTGGTGAGCCCGACGTTTGAGAACTCCTAGCTACGTATTGTGCTGTATGACATTTTCAACACTACATCGAAGACCGTGAATTCACCCTTTTTACTAACCATAAAACGCTGACTTTCTCGTTGAGCTCCTCTTGAGACAAGTACTCACCTCGTGCGTCTCGACGACTGGACTATATTTCGCAGTTCACTTCACATACTTTACACATTTCTGGAGCAAACAATGTAGCTGCAGACGCCCTGTCTCGCATAACTTCCTTGAACAGTTTCCAAGGAATCGACCTTCTTAAACTCACCCAGCTTCAAAAAGAAGACACTGATCTTCAGCATGAGTTATCGTCTACAACACTCAAGCTATGCATCAAACAGATAGGGTAAGGAAGCCTTACTTTGTGACACATCTACAGATAGGGATCGCCCAATTGTTCCGGAACATTATCGACGCATCGTCTTCATTACGTTGCACAAACTTTCTCATCCAGGTGTTCGTGCAACCATCAAGCTTATAGCAGAA